CCCTTACCTAAGATACAAAACATCTTCACTAAACTAAAGGGTGCTAATGTTTTCTCAACATTAGATTTGACAAATGCCTTCCATCGCTTTCCAATTCATCCACCACATCAGCATAAAACAGCTTTTACCTCCGTCGATGGGAAGCAATACATGTTCCGTGGATGCCCCTTTGGTCTTAAGCCAATATCCTCTAAATTCCAACGGGTGATGACCAAATTGTTCACACCACATCCTTTTTGTAATTTTGTTGCTACTTTCGTCGATGATATCGTCATCTTTAGTCGAACCATCGATGACCACTTAACACATGTTCAGTTGGTGATCCAAGAATTAACTCGTGTCAAATTGATACTTAACCCTAAAAAATGCCACTTTGCCCAGAAGACCATCTATTTGTTAGGCTTCTGCGTATCCACTAACGGCAAAACTTACTTGGATCCACGTAAAGTAACGAACACACAGGATTGGCCCAAACCTCGCACTGGCAAGGATATACAACGTTTCCTTGGCTTGGTTAATTACTTTCGGGAGTATATTCCCAAAATATCAAACCTTACCGCACCTCTCGATCGCCTTCGAAATGTTGCGGGTAATTTAGGTACCTTATGGACACAGGAACATGATGATGCTTTTGGCAACCTGGAACAGGCGCTGCTACATGCACCAGTTCTTCACCCACCCCAAACTGATTTACCCTTCCATGTCGCTACTGATGCATCGGATGTTGGTATCGGGGCTGTCCTATATCAAATTGATAAACATGATCGTATACGTCACATTGGATTCATGGCACGTTCATTGACGAAATCTGAACGTAATTATAGGTACCACTAAGCGTGAACTATTGGCAATCGTTTTCGCGCTCAACAAGTTCCATCAACACCTATGGGGTCGTCACTTCACCCTTCATACAGATCATAAAGCGTTAGTATACATCCACACGCAAAAAGACTTGAATGCTATGTTAAACAAATGGTTGGATACCATCCTTGATTACCAATTCACTGTAGTCCACTTACCGGGTATGAACAATGTCTTACCTGATGCCTTATCTCGCCTTTTTCCAATGGACAAAGAGCTGGGGGAGGGTAATCTACCTACAGAAAAAATACAATCTACCAACTTTATCAAAGTTGGAACTGACAAAGTAGTAAGAGCAGCTAGCGTGACCTATTTAGAAAATAACATGATGGAACCTCCAACGGAGACAGAGAAAAATGAATGTTTGATAAAAGCGCATTTATTTGGTCATTTTGGTGCTGAAGCTATCGTAAAAGCGATACATAATAATGGACTACACTGGCCTAAACTAAAAGAACAAGCAATAGAACTTGTAAAGTCATGTCAGCAATGTCAAAAGTTTAACATAGTAAAAGCAGGTTATAACCCACATAAACCTGTAAGCGCTAAATTACCTGGTGACCACTGGGCAATTGACCTGGCAGGACCATTACCACAAACGTATCGTAATAACAACTACTTACTAGTAATGATTGATATCTGCAGTCGCTTCGTAATCCTTCGTCCTATACAAGATAAAACTGCTGAATCAGTAGTACAAGCAATAATTCCTGTTTTCTGTGATTTCGGAATACCTACCGTGTTGCAATCAGACAATGGAAAAGAATTTGCAAACCAAGTAATGAAGAGATTCAAACAAAAGGCTGGTTTTGACCATAGGTTAATCACGCCCTACTATCCACAAGCCAATGGTGCTGCAGAAAGAACTGTAGGTACAACAATGAATGCAATCAAAAAAGCCGTAGAAGGTGTAGTTGGAGAATGGGACCTATTCGTACCAAGTGTACAGTTGGCCCTAAACAATAAAGTATCCAAAAGACATAACTCCACACCCTTCAGTGTAATGTTTGGAAGAAGACTAAATGATTTCAAACAATATAATGAGGAAGATGGTAAAGCAGAACCACTTTCTGAAAAACAAGTAAAAGAAAGAATGAAAGAAATTCAAGAAATTATCTTTCCAGCTATTGAAGAAAAAACACTTCAAGCCACAAACAAACAAAAATCAAAATTTGATTCCAAGCACATGCAAAAAGATTTCCCTGCAGATAGTTTTGTGCGTGTCAAAATACATCCCAGTTTTAGATCTAAAATGGATCCACTTTATGAAGGACCTTATAAAGTAGTAAGAAAAACTCAGAATGGAACATATGTTCTAAAAGATAGTACTGGTGATATATTACCAAAAAGTTATACCGCCTCTCAATTGAAAGCAGTTAACCAACCAAATGATGTTGAAGAAACAACATATGAAGTAGAAGCTATAGTTGCACATAAGTTGGACCCTGAATCAGGAAAATACCTTTACAAAGTCAAATGGTTAAATTATGATGCTATTCATAACACTTGGGAACCATCAGAGAATTTTAACAGTGATGTGACCATTCAAGAATATTGGAGTAAAATAAAGCAAGAACCTGCAGTACCCCAATTCAATAAGAAATTAAAAAGGGAACACACCACAAATCATAAACCTCAAAAAAGAACCCGTAAAAGAAGGACTTAATTCAAACGTCTTCAGACTGGTAGGGGGTAATGTGGTGTCTATAAGATAGATCTGAATGATCTATCTTAAAATCAACATTTTGTGTAACAGCTGTCATTTATATGTTAGGGAGTTTTTTATTGCGTTAGCTTTTTCTCTCACTTTATTCTTATTCAATAAAGATATACTTTTGTCTCACTTATTTTTTATTTATTTCTTCAACTATCACAAGCACTACATAATGTGTACCTTCATCGCTTGCTTGCTCGTACCAATGGAAACCCTCTGACAGAAGTCATCAACGTACTGATCCGCATCCATTGTGATGAACAGACATCAATCCCTTTTCTACTTCTCCCACAACATTTCCGGATCACCTTGAAACGAATGCCACAATTGCAACATCTTGCCCATCTACTCACGGAACTACCAGGGATTTCTCCTATTGATACATGGACGCCAGGTTTTGTCAAAAATATTCCCATCCAATATGCTCTGGCACCAACAGCAGAAGCGAAAATACAATTGACATCCATACCGGCTACATATCTTATCAAAGACCTTTTTGAACTTCCTGATCAAGACACCGCATTCATTCCCAAAGCATTTTTTCAAAAACAGACTTCTATGGGTGCTCGAATAGAAGAAGATATAGCAAGAGGATACAGTAGTTGGGAACCAGATATCGACAAAATACTTAATAGGCCATCTCCCACACCATGTCCATCAAACTTACTACACGTGCAACTAGATCACTGGACTATAAGATCCAACAGGAAAATGGATCCGTGGATACAGACATACAAAGCATCACCTAAAGAAATACGGTTGATATGGAAAGATCGCCATGAGGATAAGAGACCACCTCCGAAACCTCCATTCGCATATCCAAGCTACACCACACTAACGAAGAATCAATGGTCCTTTTTCTGGTCGCTCAACATCCCTCATAAGGTACGGAACTTCTGGTGGCGAATCCTTTTGAAGAAATTACCAACACAACAACGACTTCACCAACTACGAGTCCCAAATGCGCCCTTGCCTAATTGCCGAATATGTAAAACGGAGGAAGAAGACGAGTATCATATGGTGGTCGGGTGCCCCTACAAAGTAGTTTTCTGGAAGAAATGTATTAGTTATATTGGCCAGGACGAAATGGATCCACCGTCCATTTGGAACAAAATAACTTTTCTCAGTTTACCACAGAATAAGTCGTCGCTCTGGGAACATGCCTCAGACATGGAAAACATTGGACGTATAATGAACATAATATGGCAACAACATTGGTTGGTAATCATAGAGGAAAAACAATGGAGCATCGAAGTAGCTTTCCAAGCATATCGAAAGCATCTCTGGAGACAAGGAAAAGACAAAGAGTGAGAAAAAGTTTTATTTTTTCTCTCCCCTCCCCCTAGAATTTTGTAACTAGTCACACGCAGATCTATAACTGGGTCCTAATCTCCCCAATTCATGCAAATAAAACAGTCTATAAAACAAAAAAAAAAAAATATTTTCTGTCGACGGCTAAATTGGCGGCTTCGGGAAATTTTTATCCGAAATCTTTTTAAGAGTGACCCTTCCTTTTTTTTTTCTTGCACTCTTTTTCTTCACTTTTCTTTTCTTTTTTTTTTTTTTTTGTATTGACTTTAGTGTTAGTATATCATTTTAGTAGTCTTTATTAGTCTTTAGTAGTTAAACTTTTATTTAATAAAGACTTTACTTTTATTGAAATCACTTCATTACATGTCAATGCAATTGATTCCATCTTCGAATGTACTTTTTTTTTGGGAATTCTTATTTTCACCCCCCTCAGTTTGTTATTCTCACCCCCCAAGCTAAAAAATAGCCAATAAAACACGAAATACCTTCTTTTTTTTTAAAAAAAAAATGCATATAATATGTATTTTATACTATTATTATTTTATTTCTTTAGTTTGTTTTGTTTGTCTGAAATAAACGTTGTTATATTTAATCCAGTCTTTTATTGATTCTAGTTGATGATGGATGATGGATGATGGATGACTACTTTGTCATTTACTATTCTTACTTCTCTTGAACTATTATGATAAAACAAATATTACACTTCTTACCTTTCATTTAAAATAAAAACTTGTTCGATATCTGACATAATCATAGAATTGTGGCTGTTTAAGGTCATGCACGTCAATTTGGACAGTCTTACCAGGATGCATAAAGAAGTCTTTTTTTTTTCTTTACGAAATATGTAATATATTGGTAATGGATGATGACTGAATATAAAAGTTTTGCTGAAATTTATCGACTATATGAAAAAAAAAATCAATTTTATTGGCTATTTTTTAGCTTGGGGGGTGAGAATAACAAACTGAGGGGCGTGAAAATAAGAATTCCCAAAAAAAAAAATTCTTTTTTCGCCAAAAAATTGGACTTGGAAGCCACTTGTTACACGAAAAATAACAAATTTTCGTTACTCTATAAAAATTTGTAACTACCCAACGTTTTTATTTTATTTCTTATTTTCAGAACATTCCCAATTTACAAAAACGTCCATCTTAGTTGTTTTCGTCTAGTAAACAAACTAGCAGGAATTTCTCATGATGCAAGATCTCCTAATACAAGACAATGAAAAACATTAGCTCATTCCAAACACACCACGCCAAGAAACAAAGTTATATCTCTTAGTATTGGATCTCATCTTTGGTAACATACACTGGCAACCAGGGATTCAACACCGGACAAGAGCTTGATCTATCAAACATACTTGTGGCAGCAAGCATAAGGTGAAAGGTAAACTATTGTACATGTCTAAACTAATGTATCTAAAGAGTTTATTTTTGTCATTTTCTAATTTTTTTTTATTCTATTACAAATTTTAGGATCTTTAATGATCTCGGCCTATGTACTGGATGGCAGCTCTAGGGCATTCAGCTCTGTGCGGATGTCCTTAGCTGAGATCCGCCCGGTGTTGTCTGTTGACGACAACGAGCGGATCGTCAGGAGTCCTGCTCGTCGCCTGGCCGTTGAAGGATTTCAACGAAATCCAAGGAAGGTGGAATTTCTTGTCAAGAAGTATATTTTCGAGAACTGGGAGGATAAGGAGAAGGTGTCTGCCAGTGGGGTATCGAAAGAACGCTTTGGAACTGAGCTTGGGGAGCTCTACCTGCGCCTTGGTAAGTATAAACTACGTTACATTCGGTAGTAGAAATATATATAAGAGTAGAACAGTATCTAACTTTCTTTTTTTTTTTTTTTTTTTGTATGAAAACGTTGATCACGATTCACCAAGATGTGATACTTCAACTCCCGCAGAATAATAAATAAAAATAGATTTTTGCCCTAAAAAAATTTCTTTTCTTTATAATGATTTTAATCTTAGTACATCAATTAGTGCTCTATAGTAGTCATACTTTTCTTTAATAAAGCTTTTATTTTTATTCCTACTGCTATGTTACACGTCAACGTAATTGATTCCATCTTACGATGTATTTTTATTCTTTATTTGTGAATTTATGGATTTGGTTACGGAATATGCTGATACGACATTTGCCCTTTGTTCAATCGATCCTTCGTCACTATATTTCTTTGTTCTCCAATGCGATCGATCCGTGCCAGCCTTTCCTTTTTACTCAATTCCGTCAAGGACCTCACAACGATAGTATGAAAACAGCTTCCCTCTGGTTTAAAGCCTTCGATAAAATACCTATATCATATTCCCACCTTGATTTAAGTATTGTTACTGTTCTTTCTTTTCCTTTACGACATCTCTTTTGGTACCACCACAACAATATTGGATTCATAGATTTCAATTTAAAACAATTTTGGGCTCCTCGTTTTTTGGGAAAAATGACACCTGTATTTGACATTATTCTAGAAGATACCAACCTTGAACTAAAAGAGTAAGTGGCAAAAAAGAAAAATGAAATGAAATGATGATGACCGGATTTTTTATTTTACTTTTATTTTTGACAGTGGCGAAAGGATGAGTCAAACATCAAAGGAAATTTGCAAGACTAATAAAGTCGGCGAACATATCATTGAAACAGCAATCGAAGAATTTACGGATGAATAAAGGACTTCTTATGAAATGGCTGACTTTCCCTATTCCTGTTGATATGATATCAAGGCTTTCAACGTTGCCCATGGATTGAATCGGTAAGTGCATATTTGACTCAATCAATCAATCGAAAAAAAAGCACTAATATGTTTTATTATTTATTGATTTGTAGAGTTAGCAAGGTACATGTTCTCTGTTTCCAAATATAAAGATATCTTCATTGCCCAACATTTTGGAACCTTGCAATACCTTGAATATATTGCCAACTTTGCTGAATTCCTCCCAACCCTTGATGCTCTATACATTTGGAAACATCACCACCTCGCCATGAAGGATATTTTACTACCAGCAATCAACAATATTGAGTTCTATGAGAACAATGCCACTGCTTGGATGACCAAATCTATTTTTTACAAGTTCTTGCGTGCTATCAACAATCGGGTTGGAAACCTAAGCAAGAAACAGAAGTGTGCTTTGCTTTTGGACAACGCTAGGTGTCACAATCTTCAAAATGAAGACAAGGATTACTTTTCCAAAAACTTCCCTTCTTTGGACATCCTCTTTTTGCCTGAAAACACCACCTCTGTCTTGCAACCCCTGGACCAAGTGTCGTATCTAGACTGATATTATTGTGTAACTTTAAGATCTCAGCTTCTTGTCATTTAAGATTGGATTAGAATAGTTTTTTCTCTTTTTTCTCTCTCATTCAATTCTTATTGAAATAAACTATATCAACAGTCTCATCGTATTTTCGATTTGTCTTTTATTATTATTTTTATATTTTTTAATCCAATCAACTATCTTAATATTCACTAGGGTCAGAAGAGAGGGCAAGTCTTCGAGGGATTGGGGAAAACGAATGTGGGCAATTTCTAAAAATGTATAGATACCTTTGGTGGTCAATCGAGTCAAATAAAAGGTGATGTTGAATCCTACATGTTGAAAAACTGGGTTATATCATCCTTCCATCCACGTCATTGATTCTGGCTTACCATGAATTTTAAAAGCCAAAGCAGCATCCAGTTTGTTAACATCGACAGTGTTCTTATTCGTGATAGTTGAAGAAATAAATAAAAAATAAGTGAGACAAAATATAGATCTTTATTGAATAAGAATAAAATGAGAGAAAAAGCTAACGCAATAAAAAACTCCCTAACATATAAATGACAGCTGTTACACAAAATGTTGATTTTAAGATAGATCATTCAGATCTATCTTATAGACACCACATTATTGAAGACAACGAGACGAAGAGTATCCATGCATAGTGCGTGTTTGTTTCCATTCCCTTGATATATTTTTGCTTCCCCATAGCCAACGCTGCCTAGAAAGTCAAGTTGTGGTTTTTCGCTGATAATGGCGTCCGGTCGAGATTTTCCCTTTTCATTTGGGATGGTGTTCGTCCAGCGCAAATGCGTCAGTCGTTCAGGATCACTAACCAAACAAGAGAGGATGGGATCGAAGTATGTGCTCCATAATTCACTTTCACTAATTGACTTGTAGTCATTCAATGGAGCGTCTGGTAGTTTTTGTATCCTATTTAAAGAAAAAAGTCAGTCTAGATGCGACAAAGATAATCACCAATAATCACCAATAATCACCAATAATCACCAATAATCACCAATAATCACCAATAATCACCAATAATCACCAATAACAATAATGATACTGTAATTTTCTGTCAGCGAATAATATGTAATCATGTCGACGAGTAGCACGACGATCATACCTTCGAATGATGGATTTTGTCATGTCAGCGTAGGATACGTTTGTTGTTGGCTGTAATCGAGCACCACCAAAAATTGACGGAAATGCTAGGTATTCACTATCAACATCCGTTGCTATTGATAGTGGAGTATGTCCTTCGACTGGCGCAAATCGAATACCTTCATCACCAGTAATCAGAGTTTCCGAACCATCAGGATTGATAGGTTGATCGTCTTCAGCAGGGGAGTCACCAGAAACCGTCAGATCGCCAGAGTCATCATTGTCATCGACATCAGAGTCACCAAAAGATCATCCAATTCAATACCATAATCACGCCCCGTCACCGATTGAACGCCATGATCTCGATATAGATCTGTTTCAGAGAGTATACGTGCCGCCTCATGCACAACAGCAGGACGAATATTTCCTTCCACATATGACCTTGCAAAAGACATTTTTCTTGCCAAACGGACATGGTAGATGCTGGTATCTTGTAACGGTCGAGGGATTGCAGTCACAATGCGATTCACAGAAGCAGGAACATTGATGATTCCGCCTTTTGCATGATATTGTCCAGTCGATCCAAAAACTGACCATATGGTTTGGAATACATGTCTAGCAGCAACAAGTCATTCTTCCAGTAGAGTGAGATTGTTGAGTGATTCCAGAATTGGCGCAAATTGAGGTCCATTTGTGGTATCAGCGTATTTCGTACACATATCCATAAAATAAAAAATAAAGAATGTATTCACAAAACACCGTTTGCATCCTGTGTTGAAAGGATTTCGAAGACAAAATCATTTGTCTCGTTCTTGAGGTCATTGCTTTTGATCTTGATTTGCCGAGATTACTCCCGGCAGCTTCAACGAATAGAAATACATCGTAAGACGGAATCAATTACATTTACGTGTAATAAAGTGCAGCAGGAATAAAAATAAAAGCCTCATCAAATAAAATTATGGCTATTATAGATCACTAATTCAAAGAAAGAAAAGAAAATTTCTTTTGTAAAGACTATTTATTTATTTTGCTGAGGGAAAGAAAAGAAAATAAAAAAAGTATCTAATAACAAAAAAACAAAAAAAAAATACGGACTTTGAAAATCATCACGCTCCATAATCACTACATATCAATGTATAAACACTCCAGGGTAGCCATATGATAAATCATTACACATATGATGATAGCATCACATCAATGAAAAATAAAATACTAATAAGATTATATGCTCTGTATAACAGTATTACGAACCAAATCAAGGATAAACGAAAACAAAAATAAAATTTGATCACCAATCTTAAATATAGTATGATGATACTAGTATTACGTATCACTCACCACGTACTTATATATACAGTAAGACGAACAAACCTTTTTGTGTAGATACTTTGTCTTTTTTTTCAACTATTTTTCTAAATAAAAAGAAATCTCACAGACTCGCTCTCGTCTCCTTTTTTTATATATATTATTATTCAACTTACACTAATTCCACATTTAGTCTTTTTACAGTTGTTAAGCACCGTACCGGTTTAATTTTCTGCCGTTGATCGCCACTCATCAAGACGTGACACCAACTCCCGCAAAATAAACAAGTCCCGTACTTCACTTGTTTTTTTTTCGTCTTCCTTCCTTCCTTTTTTTTTTTTCTGTCTCCCTTTATTTCTTTTTTCTCTTCGCTTTTTTTTTTTTTTTTTTTTTTACCTTTATCAATCAACATGAACCCCACATCAATAACAATAATAACGAAAATAACCACAATACCAACAATACACAAACGAATGCAGCTCTTGTTCTAGATTCTATGCGCAAAAGAATGGAAAGTTACTTTGAGATGCTGTTGTCGGTTCTCATGGCTAGTTGTCTCCATAGTAACGGCATCTTGTCAAACGATTTCGAATTAGAGGTTGTCTTGAGAACGTCTCCGTTCTTTTTTTCAGCTCTCAGAGATTGTTTGAAAACAATGGCGCAAGTAACGGTGTAATTCCAAGTTGGGCTATTGGCATGATGTCCATCCTTTTTTACGCGATGATACTAGTGACTTGAGTTATTCTAGGAACTATCGTCTCCGAAAATCGTCTTTTGCTTGGCTGGTCAACTCTTTACGCGATCATCCTATCTATACCACTGAAAATTCGACCGATCCTGACGTTCAGATTGCTTGTGTTCTTTGGCGGTTTGCAAGCACCCACTATGGCTATCGAATGTTCAGAAATCAGATGGGATATTCTCAAGGATTGTATAATAATTTTACTGTGCGGTTCCTGACAGCGATGATGGATGTTCATTCTGATAAGATCAAGTGGCCACAAGGTGAATCTGAAGTGAATGCAGTAGTAAGGGGTTTCCTTGGTGTCGACAATCCACGCATCAGTGCTGGACAACGTCTTCCTGGTGTCATTGGTTCAATGGATGGCAAGTTAGTCAACATTAACAAACCTGCTCGTAGTGGTGAAAGTTATCGTGACAGAAAAAACAATTTCTCGATGAGCTTGATGGCAGTATGTGATCACGAACAACGCTTTACGTACGTAAATATTGGGCAATCAGGTATTTGTATTTTTTTTTTTTTTACTGTGTATATTTATTTAGTTACTTATTTTTATAGGATGATGCAAGTAAAAGAGAAATGGGTTGGTCTTTATGCTGGTCATGTGCCTCATCTGGGTAGCAGAACGACAAATCGGATCGAAGGTGCACATGCAAAATTGAAGCAACTTGTGACACACACGAATGCCAGCATGGAAATAGTGTTTGAAAGTATTGACAGATGGTATTTGGGAATGGTAAGTCTTAATGGGCGTCTAATGTAAATGGTGAAACTGACTTATCTCATTTAAGAACCAAGCTTCAAGGTATTACGACCAATACGATCTTCAGCTGAATATTGGAAAAAACAGACGGCACAGGCCACGGCGAAAATGCGACAATGTGGCATGTCTACTACAGTAATAGTTAGTAATCAAATATTTTTTTTATCCCAAATTATTTTATTTTGCTTCTTTTCTTCATGATCTTATTCAATATTTTATCCTCGATTATTTTTGTCTATATATATCTTTTGTCACCTCTCTTCTTCGAATATTAAATTCAATTATCCTTTTTCTTTACCATTATCACCTTATTCCATAATCAAAGCTTTATTCTTATAACTATCAACAACATATTATATTTTTTCTTATTTCCGCTAGATAAGTCTAGTAAGTATTTTTTTTTTTGTTATGATTTTGTTACTTTGGACCATCAACACATCTTTAGAAATAGAACCCGGCCTTTAAAAATTTTTTATGGCCAACTTATTTTTTTAAATTTATCAAACATTGAATCTTTTTTTCATTGTTTGAAAAATATCAAACAAATTTATTTTTTATTTCTATTTTTATTTATCTTTTAGTATATATATATATATAACCCCCTCTCTTTTCATCATTTCTTTTTGAATCGTCAAATTTTATAGGTTTTTTTTTTTTTAACCAAAATCATATTGGCCACTCTTAAGGAATAAATCATCCTAAGTTTTATCTTTATTTTATTATTATCAAGCAATCATCAAGCATTTTATTCAAGTTATTTAGTTGATCATCATCATCTGTGATCAAATTATCAAGAAATCTATAACCTTTTTTGGGATTACATCTATTTTTTTTATTCTTCTTTTGTTCTTTTTATATAAAAGAACTCGTGCTCACTATACGAACAATCATCATTAATATCATCATCTTGATATTATCTTTTACTTTACTTACAAATCAATCATCCACCCTCTAACAAAAAAATCCCTAACACTTATCGGACAATGGATCTCATTTTGTCAACAATGTTATCAATCCATTTTTGGACATATTAAAGGCGAAAGATGTCCATCCGTCGTTGTCCGTTGTTGCCATTTTACTAATAAACTTTTCTGGCCTCAAAAAGGCAGTATTTATTATCTCTAAAATTTATCTCACATCACTGATGATCATCTTTTGTGTATTTTACTGCATGCTCCATCTTTGTCATATCATGAAATAAAAGAGTCGTTGGATGAATATAAATCTGAGACATCTACAACACAAAGTCTATTGTTCTTCAATAATCAATCTATTTTTATTTTATTTATCTCCAGATTACATATATAAATATACCTTAGTTTTTATTTTATGAAATAATCAATTAAGTCATTCTTTTTCAATAATAAAAAATTAGAAAGAATCTCACTTATTTATTATCGTCTTTATTCATATAACAAAAATCAACTAATATCACAATCTTTGTTCTTTGATATTACCAACACGATATTTATCTTTATTTTTACACGACGTATACTCATCACCCCCTTTCCAGCTCTTTTTCCACGGAGAAAAGGGGTGAAAATGCATCCGGTAAAACATTCGTCATACCGGCGATGTGTGCAACGGTGAAGTTGTATTGGAGAATTGTATCTAACCAATTTATCATCATAGCATTGGCAATTTTTTGTGTATGGATATACATCAATGAACGGTGATCTGTGAACAAGGTAAAGTGTTTACCCCAGAAATAATGATGGAATTTGTGCAAGGCAAAAACGATCGCTAACAATTCTCTTTTTGTTGTAGAATAGTTCCGTTCAGATACACTTAATGCTCGTGCCATAAAACATATATGGTGTATTTTATCATCGATGATCTGACCTGTGGGTAGTTGCTGTTGAAAAAAAAAAAAAAAAAAAAAAAAAAAAAAAAAAAAAAAAAAAAAAAACGTTGGAGACAGTTCATTTTTCAGCTAATACCCATTGTCTTTTTTTTTTTTTAACTATTTTACCACAAGAATCGATGGACGTCAGCACAGTTGGTACTTAATCCCGCGTAATCCAATGTGACCAAGCAAATCTTTGTTTTTCCAGTAATAAATGTCAACATGTCTGTGGAAAGAAAGTGAAAGTTCATCAATATTTTGAGATGAGATATACTGATATGCTTTTACCTTGAGTATCTCCAGTAACATTAATCTGTTCCTTCACTGATTGATCAGCTTTTTTTATCCCTGTGTCGTATCAGCGTACTTCGTAACCATACGCGTAAAATAAAACTAAAGAATGCATTCACAAATAAAGAATAAAAAATACATCGTAAGATGGAATCAATTGTATTGAAGTGTAACAAAGTAGTTGGAATAAAAATAAAAGTTTATTTATATAATAATATAACTACTAAAGACTACTAATTGATATACTATCACTAAAATTGTTATAAAGAAAGGAAAGAAAAGAAAGAAAATAAAAATTACCGCATATCTAAAAAATAAAAAATAAAAATACGGACTTTGAAAGTTAGTATGCTCATGATCTTTTGATACTATCAAGAAAGATACATATCAATAAATAAACGTTCCAGGGCAACTAACATAATGAATCACTATACATATGATGATAACATCACATCAATAAGAAATAAAATACTACTAAGATTATACTCTCTGTATAACAGTATTACAAACAAAAATAAAAATAAAAAGAAAATAAAGTTTGGTCACTAATCTTAAATATGGTGTAATCATATTAGTATTACGTATCACTCACTACGTACTTATATATAAGACCAACAAAACTTTTTGTGTAGATACTTTGTCTCTTTTTTAATCATCTACTTTTTAAAATAAAAAGAAATCTCACAGACTTGTTCTCGTCTCTTTTTTTTTTTTTTTTATATCAACATTTACACTAATTTTACACTGTTACCTCGTTGATATCTTACCTGTAGGAGTTGAGGCACACCTACTACAGATGAAGAAGACGAACAAATAAAATAAAGATATATTTGTTGATTTTAAACCCCACCTATCCCGTTTCCTAAAGTTATGTGTCCATACTCCGATTCCTTTCAGGACAAAAACCGTTTATGCGAGACTTCAAAAAACATATTAATGAACCACACAAACACATATCATCTATAATACCGTAAGAATAAAAAAAAAGATGTATTGCAAATACAAAGTTTTATTGAAATAAAAGGAAGCTAATACTATATATACCAACACTAAAGAACAAACAAGCAAACCACTATACATAATTGTTTTTGTTTTTAATAATCAATGACGGCAGAATCAATCGGATAAGTAAGGGTTTTTTTTGGGGAGTCGACGTTGCTTGGTTGGGCGTGTTGGGGTGGTAAGAGTGGCAGCGAGGTAATTTTCAGCGTTTCTTTTTGTTGTGATTAATGAAGAGGAGTCGAGGATGAGAGGGGTTCTAGTCATAGAGTAAGACTGCTTCAAAACAATCTAAAAAATGGTCAACCGTAGAATAAGCTTCCTTCTTTTCTTTGATGTTGACATCATACTTGAATTGCAACACAGGCAATCCAGAAGGTATTTGAATTTTTATGTCACTATTAGATGTTCTTTCGTGACCTAGTTTTTCATGATTGCGCATGGATTTTGTATGTTGATCAATTTGAGTGCGTACAGGGCAATAGCTAACGATTCATCATTAGTTATTCCTTTGATGATGTAATCATCACTTTTTTCGATCAATTCTCTTTCTACTAAGCGTAGACGATTAATCTATTGATTGATAAATTTACACATCTCTTTCGAAGAAAAAGAAGTGGAGACCAAAGGAGGCAAGGGAACATCTTGAGAAGGATTGTCAACTTCCATGGATGGGGAATCATTGTTGATAACGTTGTTGTTGTTGAAAAATTCACTGAAAAAAATGTTGAATTTGGTGTAGAGGTCGAAATAAAATAATAATAATAAAATAAGAGACAGATAGAGAGTCAGTGAGATTCCTTTATATTTTTAGTAAGATAAAGAAATTGTGATGTGGCTCCCAAGTATCATCTTCTGGTGTATAACCTTTCCAACGGGGTGCAGATATTTTATGTGTACACACAAATTCCGGAGAAAAAGTGCGTGTACACACAAATTTGAGGCGGAACTTTGTGTGTACACGCAAATCCAAAAAAAAAAAAAAAAGATAGAAACGCAGGTATCTGCAAAGTAAGCTGTAAATCTGTGTGTACACTCACCTACTATTTATAGGTTTTATGTGTACACACAAAATACCAGCTCCCTCCCCTGACGACTTTTCTGACTTTTTTCCTTCTCGTGACGCACGACTTATTTTTGCGTACGGCTTTTATCACTTTTTTATTACTCTTTCTTCCGTTTCCTTTTTACCTACAATCCCGGCAAAGTGAAGTTTATGATTTGAAGGATGTCTTAATGAGGCAAATCATCAACACAACATGGAATTATCGCGACTTCTAGTATTATCCCTAGGCGGCTGCAAAAGTTCTTGTTGTGGGGACACATCCTGGTATCGGAGCTACAGTAATAATCAACATGCCAAACAGAGATGAAATAATCTTACAGACATTATTGGAACTGATCAGCGAGATCAAAGGTTACCGATCGGCTGTGGAATCTTTTGAAAGAAGTACTAGTGAGAGAACTCACGGCATTGGAGGCCAAGATGGATCTGCTACTGAACGCTGACGCAAAGCGTACCGATGGAAGTGGTGTGGATCCGACCACCAAAGAAAGGTGAAAGCGCAATCGCCAAGATCAAGGAACCTTACCTGCTTGGTATCAGATCCCGATAGACTTGTCCACCCCCGTTGGACAAACACTATACCAACGGAGGGTGGACCATCTCAGTCAGATGCTGTGATCTCTAGAAAACAGCAGCTGGAATACGAAGGCAGCGTGGGGCACGGGGAGGTGAAAATCAACCAAGGAAACACAAGTAAATACTGTCTTTGTATGGATACTGCTGAACGAGACTTTATAGTACTTGATGATTAAAAAAAAAAAAAACTGTCATATTAGTCTATTAAATATCTGAATTTGAATAAAATAAAAAAATCACTTTTCTTTCACTTAAAATTCTCACTATATTAATAAAACCTTAACTGGAATTGATTTTCTTTTACATTCTCTTTTTACTGTGATCAAATTCACGCATTTTATCTCTTCTCATATATTTTGTTCAAGATGATCACATCATGTGAATCCTTTTTTTTTTTTTTTATATAAATATCCCAACCTTTTTATTTTATATTTTTTTTAGTTGTCAAACTTATTACAAAGAAAATACTTCACAATAAAAGTTTTTTTTTTTTTTTTTTTTTTTTTTTTTTTTTTGAAATCCATCATCTGGCCTACTCTATTGGAAACAACCATCCCTTAATTTTACTTTATTACAAGGCATCAAGACTTTTATTTTATTTTATTTTAGTTGGTTATCACACAAGTAATCAATTACTTTATATTTCATTTATCGTTTTTAATTTTGCCTTCTATTTTTGTTCTTTTTTTATAAAAGATCTGGTGCTCACTACGCCATAAACAGCATTAATTTTATTATATTAATAATGTCATCACATCTATCTTCTTTATCAATCATCACTCTTACAAAAATGCCCGTAACAGTCGATACGTGTGTTAAATTTGGTGTAGACGTTGAAATAAAATAATAATATGTAATAAAAGACAGAGACAGAGAGAGAGAGCGAGAGAGATCCAGTAAGATTCCTTTATATTTTTATTAAGATAAGGAAAATTAGATAATGTTCTAATAGTCTCGAAAGCAACATAAGCTGTAAAATTGTGTGAACACTCACCTACTTTTTATGTACACAAGATACCATCTCGCTCAAATTTATCGTACGTGGAGAAATCCTGTGAATTTATCATAATGTTGAGCTTCAGCCAATCATATCGAAGAAAGGTGCAATGTCTTGCGTTTTCCTGACGTGTCCCTCTTCTCAATCTTTCTCTTCATATAAAGCAGCTTGTTTCTTGGATAAAACTGCAATTCAAATGGTTAAAAACTTAATCGCATAATACTCCTCCTATGCGTCGGTTTTGTTCTGTGTACGATTTGGAACGATCCAAACTTGGACAACTGGGAAGAAGGGTGGACTGTTAATATTTATGGTGAACCTGTTGATTGCGATGGAAAACCTTATGCTGGACATAAGCTTATCAAACCGTCCCCCCTCAGTTCGATAGATCCATACAGGTCTTGCGGTCCAACACGTCCTGATGGCACCTTCGATTGTACTTATTTACCCGAAAGTGCTACTGTTGTAGATACTTTTGCTGAGTTGTTTGACGATGATTTTTAAAAGAATATAATAATAAAACTCTCTGGCTAAGTTTAACTGATTGACACTGCCATGTCTGTCAGGCATGTTAGCGTTTTTTCCAAAAAGTAGTTGAAATAAAAAAATAAATATGGGAGAAATACGATGAGAACTGCTAGTCAACTTTATTTCAATAGAGAATTAATGTGAGAAAAAAGATACCATAATGTAATCTTAAGTGACGAGAAGCTGAAACATCAAAGTTACCGTCCAAGTTACACGATAAACAGATACAACCGGCAATTTCAATTGATTTTTGCTAGTATGCCACTCTTGATATTTACTATCTCAAAAACGAAATAAAACAAGAAGAAGAATGAAAAAAAAGAAATTAAATTACATCAATAATACTATATGGTCCTACTGCATAGATCCACCACCGTTATTTCTAAAAAAAGAAGGGGATCTTAGGCTGAAACAATCTCCGCTATCACTCCCCCCTGTGATCTTTTTTTTTTCTTCTTTGTTATCTTTTTTTTCTCTTCTTCTTTTTCCTTCACTCTTATATTTTTAGTTGTACGTTTATCCTTTTCGAATAGTATTATTATTATTCTTGTCATTATACTGAAGCATAAAACTATCTCCTATTCAGCCGAATAGAAATTCTGTCTTCCGCTTTTACTTTTGTTTTATAATTCAAATACTTATTACCCGTCCATCTGATCTTGTACCTGGCAAAGACCTGACAAGTAAATACATCCTAAAAAACGATATCCTTGGACAAAGAAAGTATGGTCAACGATTACCCTCTTTGCAACAAACAATGGTTTCGGAATGAACAAGCCTTCAACTACCAAAAGGGCATAGTTTATTTCCATTACAGAAATATGTATGTCTATGAAGACAAAGTGGACCCTGATGCGCTCGTTTTGGCAAAGCTACCAAAGTAACAATAATACTTCACGCAAAGCCACCAAGGTGAATACCCCTTGCAAGTGGAGGGTTTATGGAAAGCTCTTGGGCGATGAATGACTATTGGCGAAAGTGGCTACGCACGCAGGTATAACGTTGGATGCCAGCTCTTCGGCCCTTATCGATTTGCGATCTGTGCAAGAACATAGCAAAATAGCCATCCAGCGAGAAATCAACAATAAATAATAGAAAAATGTCAACAATGGCAACGAAAATTAAAATTCAAAAAAAAGTTTTACTATAAAGTTGAATCCATCTTTATGCCCAGCTTATAATGCAGATTTTGATGAGCACTTTTTGTATTTATCAATTTATGCTCACCTATAAAGAATATCATATCTCCACAAAATAATAAACCTATTATTTATCCATCACAAGATTGTTTAGTAGATACATATCAAAAGAAGATAAAAAATAGAAAAAATATCTTTTTAAATTGTTTATGTATAATAAAAAAGCAACTTCCCTTTATTCCTAATTCATCTATAAGTTTACATCTAATAGTACAACTGTTTTGATCTTTGTCCAATTTTTTTTTTTTTTTTTTTTTTTTTTTTTTTTTTTTTTTTTACATTCTTTTTGTTGTTGACCCGCCTTGGTCAAGCACCACAAGGTTTTTTTTTTTTCAGGATTTTAACTTTTTTGCGCACAACGTTTTACAGTATTATCACTTGTAAGTCGAGCTTCAGCCAATCATATCGAAGAAAAAAAATGATGTGTCACATTTTTCCGACGTCTGTGTCTCTAGGAATAGAGAGATTCCCATCCTTTCTCTTTCATACAAAGCGACCATTTCTTGGATAAAAGCGCAAATGTTGAAACATCTAATCTTACTAATACTCGTCCTATGCGTCGGTTTTAGTCAATGTACGACTTGGAACGATCCGAACTTGGACAACTGGGAAGAAGGGTGGACTGTTAATATTTATGGTGACCCTATCGATTGCGATGGAAAACCTTGTATTACACATAAACTTACCAAACCGTCCCTCGATTCGATAGATCATGTTAAGTCTTGCGGCAAAACACGCCCTGATGGAACCTTCGATTGTACTTATTTACCCGAAGGAGCTATTGCTGTGGATACCCTTGCTGAGTTGTTTGACGATGATCTCTAACAAATAAACTCTCTGTTGCTCCGCTGGAGCTTTTCGCGATCTTTGACTTGTGTGTGGAAGTTTATTTTTGTTGCAAAAGGGTGGGCCACTGGGTTGATGGAATGATGTCGATTCTGAATTTTTTTTGGGAAGGTGTGGGTTATAGTTTTTTTTTTTTTTTTTTTTTTTTTGGCAAGTTTTTAAGAAGTAGGATAACCGTCATTATGATGGACTCTTCGGGCTGTCGATCCGCTTAACTGATAGTTTAACTGATTACCAGCTATTCCAATCAAGGTATGAGATTAGCACTTTTCCAAATTGCCGATGCCGACTAGCAAGGTGCCAGCTGAGCTGATTTCATCAGCTGCATTGATGTTGTCAATTGCATTGATTTTGCCAGTTATACCAGTTTAAGCCACTCTGACATTGCTATCTCAAAAACGGGATAAAACAATTAAACCGATCTACTTGGAAAAAGAGAGAGCAAATCGCATTAAAAACGTAAAAACGCACAATATGGTATGACTATACAGTATTGCATAGATCAACCATGTAGTTTACTTCTGAAAAAGGAAGGCCAATGGAGCAATCTCCGCTGCCACTTCTGTGTCTATTTTTTTTTTTTGCTCGCCCTTCTGTTTGTCTCTCTCTTTCACTTTCTTTGCTATTTCTTTATCATTTGTATTCAAGTCAAACTCGCTATGTAAGTAATGGACATTAGGTCAATCCAATTAATAAGCGGAAATATAATATATACTCTAACGGACAATCAATCATTATTGCAGAATAAATCAAATCCAGGTGAAACACGAAGTCAACTGAACGATGCTGCCATCACACGTAACCCATTAGACTTGGACATCTTGGAAATCACTTCAAGTCAACTTTGGTAATAACAACAATAACAACAGCAATGAACAATGTGAGTAGGGGTCATGAAAGAGGTATCGTTTGAAATTAGTGGCGGTAGTTATATCAATCATCAATCATACATCGTATTACGAGGAAAAAGGTAGCTTTTATTCATATTATATTGCATATCTAATAAATATCATAGAATCAATTGGTTCCTAAACGACCCCATATACACATTTTCGAAGCATCTGCTACACACGTTGTGCCATCATCTTGAAATGCCCAATAGGTTGCATTGAAGTTAGTTCCGGAGGCCCAAATAACCGCTTCTTTATAATCATAAATAACAAGGTTCCCATCTTCTTGAAATATGATACTATAACCACCTTCACCTTTTCCGTTTGTACCTGTTGTCCAAATTGGGTCACCAGTTGCCTTATTGTACGAAACAAAATTGCCATCACTTTGCATTGCAAAAAAAGATTTAGAATTTACAATTACTGCTTCGCATTGACTTAATGCCGTACCCCGATTAAAGTAGCCTTGAGAATGTGTTGCCGCATCATACGGATTATTCATTATGTATTTTGTGATATCACCTCCTGTACACGTCGTTTCGTCTGCATCTTCCAATAGTTCATCATGACCGTCTTTTCCGCCAGTGAAGCTTGATCCTGAAGATATTTTTGTATTGATTGGCGATACATAATGAATAGGTGCCTTAGTACAACGGTATCCTACTCTTGTTGCTCGACATCTTTCTGGTTGTGGAAAACCCTCGGAATAGAACTTCATAGCAGCACAGTCCGTTTGGCTAATGGTTGAAAGGTATCCAAGAGAAGGTCGCATTATGGAGGCATCATCATACGAAAAGGGGCTCCATACTGTTGATCCTGGAGATTCTTCTTCGTGTGCAAGTCCAAACATATGACCAATTTCATGAGCCATTGTACGTATAACTTCACTCCTGGATTTAGTGACAATTCTGGCATTATTAATATATATGGTTGTTCTAGCTGGGTATTGATATGGAAAGAAAGCACATGCGAGCGCCAAAGGTTTCTCGCATATGGTACCTGTTCGGATGTCGAACCAAACATTTGCTGAACTGACACTGGGTGTATATTTCCACTGAGAAACAAAAGCTGAATAATCTGAGCATGATAATGACCATAAATTAAAAGCACTTTGGATATAATCAGCCGCTTTGGAAATGCCACTTGCAATAGAAGGATCTGCCGAAACGGAATAGGTAAAGCTAGTTCTTTCCCAAACGGCCAACTCAGCAGCACCTGTAGAAGTATCAAATATCCATTGAGACCTTTTATGTCGTGTCCTATTTTTTTTCTCGTCATCGTCATACAATTCGGCTACAGTATCCACAACGGTTGCATTTTCTGGTAAATAATTACAACCAAACAATCCATCAGAATCCGGTTTGCTGCAGGATTTGGCACTTAGATCTATCGAATCGAGGGATGGTTTCGTAAGCTTATGTCTAACACAAGGTTTTCCGTCGCAATCGATAGGTTCACCATAAATATTAACAGTCCACCCTTCTTCCCAGTTATCCAAGTTCGGATCGTTCCAAGTCGTACACAGACCAATGTTGACGAATAAAGCAACTATCAATACGACGAACTTAGTAATCATGTCTTTACTTCTTGAGATGAGTGTGGATAGCGTTGTAAAAAAATGTGAGTGAGCTAATGAGATTCTTTTTTTTTTATTCAAAAACGTCTTGTTACGTTTCTTATATATACACACACACATAGTGAGTGATACGTAGTACTAATTTGGTTTCATTATATTTTAATGGCCAATTTTTATTGAGAAGGGTTAAGGATACAGTACCCTCCGGGACTTCGAACTCTTTTACAACTTCTCTTTTTTTTTTTTTTTTTCCTTATTATGTTTTTTCTTATTTTTCCTTCGCCCTTGTATTTTAGATCTCTATTATACGCTTGTCCTTTTCGAGTAGTATTTGCTCTTTCTTGTCACTACACTGAAGAAAAAGGTTAAGGACACCCCTCGACTGAAATAAATTTTTGTTTTCGGATTCCAAAAAAAAATAATAATCATGATATAGAAAACAGCAAGCTTTCAATCGATGAAGCTCTACAAAGTACTTTTATTTTAATAATACATCTCTTGGAGCATCATCAAAGTTTTTACTTTATTTTATCAATCATATGAAAAATCATTCAATAATCAGGTCTTATTAGCCAATTACTTTATTATTTTGATCATCATCAAGAGTGATCATATTAACCTGTTGTTGTATCTATCGAACAACGAAAACAATATATACTTTTGTTTAATTCAACTAGAAGTGATGCTCACGACGTGAAAAAAACGATTGATTATCCATTGCAAGAGTTTTTCAGTAAGGGTTCCCAATGTGTCTCTTGCGCTTCCCAAAAGAAACTGAACTGCCATTGAACATACCTATTTACGTAGAGGATGTCCCGATCAAAGTATTAATAGATATTAATGCAAATTTTTCTTCTATAATAAATCATTTTGGTTAAAAATAATACCGATATATTCCAATTTATTTAGCCGATGTAAAAACCATTTTACCAGTGCCTATGGATCAGCACCTAAACAGGTTAGAGTGCAACGGCAATCATCTACATATGTATATATATCAATTTGTAGTGAAACCATTTACATTTTTGTCTCATTATTTCATCTAAAAAAAAGATTGAATATAATATGGAAATAAAAAGAGGGCTTTTATGATTTTCGGATATACCAGAATTTTATTCGTTTGTTTTTGTGTTCGATTTGATATGATGTAAATAAAAAAAAAAAAGTCGATAATATAACACTAAAGAAAATAATCAGGTACTGTTTTTTTAACAGGAAGACCAAGGAAATCTTGCTAATAAATATATATATATATATATATATAAATCAGTATAAAATTTTTCAATTTTTTGTTTTGTCATTGTTATTTACCTGCTGTGCTGCTTCAAACATTTTATAGTTTTTATTTAATTGATCATCCAATTCTAATATGGCGGCTACATTCCCGCATCTATTCGAACAAAGAAGAAAAGAAAGTAAAAAAAAAAAAAAAATAATAATAAAAAAAAAAGATTAGGACGATTAGATATTTCATTCTCTTCTTATTGTGATTACCTATAGCAATAATTTGGAGCTGACCACACTGTAACAATAGTATCATTGAACATTGGTTTGAATCCTTCCATAACAAGTTGATGGGCGCGAGCAATCAACTTTAATCCATTTGTATGTAAAAACTAGAAAAAAATAAATAAATAAAAGATTTATTGATGATTCATATTGTTGAAATACCAAGTCATATATCATTTTAATCCAACTTACGCTTTTCACCACATCACCTCCAAATAAATACCCAGCACCTCGAGGACTGTACCCCCATCCTTCGATATCTATTAACAAACAAAAGATTTTTAATCTTTTTTTCTTTTGGTTTGGTTTGGTTTGTTTGTTATTTTTACCTTCAGGATCTGACCATAATAAATCGCACATGGCACCGTCATGAGGAACTTCTTGTTTTCTATCAATGGTTCGGATCTAAATTGATAAAAAAAAAGAAATAATGAGTTTTATTTCTTATAAATCACCTTATCTTTATATTTCATACTTACTTGATCTAATGTGTTTATACTTGGTGATAAACCTCCATGAACACAAAAGATTCTATCATCAATAATGGCACTTAGACTAAGGTAATCAAAGATTTCACAGCAGTGTCTCCATACATTTGAAGAGCCATATTTGCGTAAACATTCTTCGTAAAATCCATAGACTTGTGTAATTTGTCGTGATTCGTGATTGCCTCGGATCAATGTAATTCGGTCTGGGTATCGTACTTTGAGTGCTAATAGCAGTAAAAAAGTTTCAACAGAATAGAACCCTCGGTCAACAAAATCACCTATAGTTTTTTTAAAAAAAAAAGATATATAAAAATTAGCTCCTGTGCAACTAATATCCCAATAAATAGTTACCCATGAAGAGGTAGTTTGTATCCGGACAATCACCACCCACTTTAAATAATTCTTTTAGATCGTGAAACTGACCTATAAATGATATATTCGATTTTATTATTAATAAAATAATAATAATAATAATAATAATAATAATGGATTTTATATTATTCGTTTCCTTTTTTTTTTTTTTTTTTTTTTTTTTTTTTTTACCATGAATGTCACCGCAAATCTATAAAGAAAAGGATTAATATGACTGGTCAGACTACTACTATCTTCTTGTATTGTTATATTATTATTTATAGTTCTATTACCGTGACAGGAGCATCTACTCTTTGGACATTGCTTTCTTCAGTCAATATTTCCTTTGCTTTCGTACATAACTCTTCAACCTCTTGTTCTGTGATAATCTCGCCTCGTCGCAACTGGTCCAGTTGTCTAAAGATACAAATTTGATGAGTGATTTTTCTTTTATTCTTTTCATCTTATATCATTGTTCCTACCGATCTAACTGTCCCATAGATCCTCGCTTTGTATTTTCTGGCAAAAAGGAAAGAAAGAAAGAAAGAAAGAAAAAAAAATTGTAAAATTGGGAACACCTGAAAGGATAAAAAAAAAAAATATCAAAAGTCCGATCATGAAAAACTGTTATATGATTGGATCTTGAATGATAATTGCACCAAAAAATGCTTAGAGAAAAAGAGTAAATTTTGTCCTTTGCTTGCTACAAATGAAATGAAGTTGTATCTATAGGAAGGATGATTTGTGATTGTGTGTTTAAAAAAGTCAATCATCATCAGCAATCCTTTCTAAATATAATTTACACTTTTTTTTTTCATTTATTGGAATAAATATACATAAAACAATACAATATATATAATAAAAAACATAGGTAGATAGAATATAAAGGGAAAAAGCTATGATACTTGGTTTTTTTTAATAAGATTGAACAGAAGTATTGGATCCTCGTCGTTGAGCTCGATCATATCCTGATCTTGACCTTTGTCCTTCCTGTTTTTGTATAAAACGTTGAGCACGAGTACCATCTTTTCTTTGTTCTTGAAGTGGGATGGATAATGGTTGTTTGCTTTGTTGACGTTTTATTTTCATCCTATCCCATAATCTAATAGTCGCCACTTTTACTATATCTGTTAGTAAAAAGGTTGCTAATGAAATGGCAAGGATGATTAGACCAGTAGACCAACCAATACCTTCAATATTCGGGTTTTGACCAAACATGCCATATACTGATAAGATTAAAGCAATGACTTGTGTACCAAGAACAACCAATGTAAAAGGCCATGAAGGTAAACTTTTCCAACAGAATCCATTCACTCGGGTAGAAAAAATGACAAAATGAGGAGCTTTACAATAAAATAAAATAAAAATAAAAAATAATAATATATTATATCAATTTTCGCCATTTCATTTTTTTTTCTATTTTTTTTTCTTTTTTTTTTCTTTTTTTTTTTTGTTATCTTACCAGAAGATATATGTAAATACATGATAGTAGATAATTGACCTGGTGATACATGAAGAACATCTCTAAAAATATAAAAGTGACCAAAAGAAATACCAGCCAAAAGGATTGCCAAAACACACGATAAAAAGATTAATAAAGGTAATCGCCATGTCTGAGGTTGTTTGCTGATTTTGACATTGTCTACTGCCATGATCAATGTAGCAGCATCATTAAGGACAGAAATCAGAATCAAAAACACTGGAGGCATTTGCCAATCTTCTGCCAAAGTGATGACAAAGAAAAACAATAAAAAATGGATGGTGGATGCAATTCGATATAATGCATAAGAATGAAGTCGATGAAATATGACACGAGATGTTTTAACAGCTTCAATGATAGCAGATAGACCAGGTTCCAATAAAACGACATCGGATGCAGATCGTGCAGCATCTGTACTTCCTTCCACCGCAATACCTACGTTTGCCTATTTTTTTTTTCCTTTCTTTTAGTAAATAGAATATACGATATAATTTATCAATAGGTTACTTACTTTTTTTAATGCAGCTGCATCATTCACACCATCACCTGTCATTGCAACAAAATAACCTTGATTTTGTAAAAGTTCTATAACACGATACTTGTGTTCTTGGAAGAAAAAAAAATAAAATAAAAAAGGATGAATTCAATCTTTTATGCCTTTCCATTATATGTTCATTGTTACTTACCAGGTATCACACGAGCAAATCCATCAGCATGTAGACAATCTAAAGCCAATTGATGCTCAGAAATCGATGAATCCACAAGATGATCTGCATCCAAAATATGTTGTCCCATACCAAGTCGACCAGCTACTTCTTGAGCAATCACAGTCTGATCCCCTGTGATCATTTTGACACTAATACCATACTGTGCACATTCTTGAATAGTAGATGCTGAATCATGTCGTGGAGGATCAATCAAACTAAAAAGACCCACCAATTCCCATCCTTCATCATGAGATGTAGTACGAGCCACACCTAAAGCACGTAAGCCTCGAGTAGCAAAAGCATCAATGGTTTGTTCTGCAATAGTATCTCCACCCACAAGTTGTAATATGACTTGAGGTGCTCCTTTTGCTACACGGAAAGTAGTGGTTGTATTGTCATCCTGTTGTTGTTGAATTGTTGCCTGTGACATTTTTTCATTTGGATTAAATGGATTAAAAGAAATGACTTCATATCCTGGAATATGACCTTGTTGAATGATGGTGGGAATGGATGATTCTGTTGCAGCTCGAACAGCCATTTCAATAGGATCCTTTGTACCTCTTTCACTTGCGAGATAGGCATAAAGTAAAAGATCATTTTTGGAATAGGGTTCACGTAAATAAGGTTCGTCAAAAGTCAGTTGATTCATTGTCAAAGTGCCAGTTTTATCACTGCATAAAATGGAGACAGAAGCTAATTCTTCTACTGCAGTAAGTCGTTTAATGATTACTTGACGTTTGGCAAGTTGTTTAGCACCTATAGCCATGGTGACAGACATGATGGTTGGAAGACCAACAGGTATACTAAATAAATAAATAAATAAATAAAAAAAAATTAAAAAGTTTGTTCAATTATATATATATATATATATATATATATATATATATATATAAAAGACTTACGCAGCAACAGTTAAGACCACCATTTCATTAAGAGCAGCCAAAACATGATCACCAGAAACAAAACCAGTTCGAATTTTCTGCTCCACTAGGTCAAATATGAAAATGATAGTCACCAAGAAGACAGTAGCAATGATCAAGAAATTTCCAATATAATTGATCACCTTTTGAAAATGACCACCATCTGTGGTGACAGTGATCAGACTAGCAGCACGACCGATAAAAGAATGAGGACCTGTACGAACAACCACAGCCTGTTGTTGACCTTGTTTGACAATACAAGAGGAATAGACAATATCATTTTTTCTTTTCTTCACCAACAAGGATTCTCCAGTTAAAGCACTTTGATCCACTTGAAGGTCACATTCAGCATGTTCTCCATTCACACCAATCCCAAGAAGTCTACAATCAGCAGGGATGATATCACCTAAACGAAGGATCACAATATCACCCACAACAAGTTCTGCAGCATCAACATCCATCAATTGTCCCTGACGCCAACATTTGGTTTTTAGCGCAAGACTTTGTTGAAGAGAAGCTACAGCAGACTCCGCTCGTGATTCTTCGACATATCCAATGATAGCATTGACAATCAACATACCCAAGATAATACCAAAGTCGATCCAGTCCTTAGTAACAGCTGTTAGAATAATGGAGAGTAACATGAGATAAGCAATAGCTCCAGTAACTTTTATATATATATATATATATAAAAGAAATAGAATAAAGAGTAAGTAAAACCATATGACGTAAAAAAAAGTCTTCTAGTAACTTGATATATATATGAAAGGTTTTCTAACTTACAGAAAGATAAGAAGTGTAAAATTTTATTTCGTTTTTTCTCTACCAATTCATTTCGTCCAAACTGTGCTAAACGTTCAGTCACTTGTTCATGAGTTAGACCATAAGTAGGTTGTGTCTGTAAATAAGTTTCCATATGAGGGGAGATCTCGTCTACCCACCCTTTTGTAGACTTTTCTGTGCCTGTTGTTGGATTTTGTGTTGTTGTTGTGTTAGTTAATGGTACTGCTTCTTCCATGAGAGGAGTTGAGGTGTCAGGACGAGAAAAAGAACCAAATACCATAACCGCTACACAACTAAAAAGTTTAGATATCAAAAAAAAAAGGGAATACAAAAAAAAAAAAAAAGATTAGAATGGGAAAAGAGGGGAGATTCACTTGAATCTAAAATTAGCTCTTTTTTTTTTTTTTTTGTAACATCATGAAAATAAAATTTGGCAAAGCCCAATAAAAGCCCAACATGAATCACAAAACACATATTGAATAGTATAATTACTATGGTTAATTGATAGATCTCCTTTTTATTGTTTTTTTTTTTTTATAGTAAAATAAATATAATATATAATATCAAAAAATATATATTTTTTTTTGATGATATTTAAGTATATATGAATGACTAGTTTTTATATTAAAAAATTTTCATTTTTTGCAAGTCTATAATAATTGTTATATGATTAAAAATAAGTTCATGCTATCTTGTTGTTATTTGTAAAAAAAAGGTCCTGATTGTGGATATTGAAAAAAAAGAGATGATTGGATGGTGTATAATATTTTTTTTTTGGAACTCCTCTGTTCCTCTCATATTGAAATATGAAAAGCATCACAGTCACTTTTTTTTTTTTTTTCGCGTTCCCCGTTTTTACTTTATTCCACTTCCTTCTTTTTTTTTTTTTTTTTTTTCTATAGTGTTGCTTCTTGTTTCTTATCATTACCAAACTATGTGTAAGTCTATTTAAATCGATTTATTTATTTTCTATTTATTTATTTATTTTTTTTTTTATTATTTTTTTTTGTTGGATCTAGTTAATAATCCCAACACTGGCCAATCAAATACAACTGGCTTTACTGGTTTCGGAACACAAACCACTCCAGCCTCTTCTACTACATCTACTAGTTCACCATTTTCTTTCGGTGGATTGAATACGACGACATCGACACCAGCAACAAGTAATACTTTTTCTTTTGGAAATACATCTGCACCAACTACAACAACACCAAGTAATACTTTCTCTTTTGGAAATACATCTGCGCCATCCACAACAACAACAACACCAAGTAATACTTTCTCTTTTGGAAATACTTCGGCACCAGCAACAACAACTACAAGTAATACTTTTTCTTTTGGAAATACACCAGCAACAACAACTACAAGTAATACTTTCTCTTTCGGAAATACATCGACGCCAGCTACTACCACTTCTTCCACTACTGCTACTACTACGACTGCTACCAGTGCGGCAACACCATCTACTTCCGGCACTACAACGACACCTAGTTTTGGTAACTTCAATTTAAGTAAGTTGTTACTTCCTTTTTCGTTTTTTTTTTTTTTTTTTTTTTTTTTTTTGGTAATCAATATTGACAATTATTCTTTTTTTTTTCTTCTTCTTCTTTTCTTCGCCATCTATCAACAAAGGTAGTGGAACCAGTAACATAACTACACCCAGTTTGAGTACCAGTGGTCCTACATTAACTACTCAACCAACAGTTTCGACAGCTCCAACAGCAGCAAATACCAATGCTTTGACTACTAGTACCATCACTGCTACTCCTACTGTCACTACACAACAACAACAACAGCAACAACAGAAGCCTATTTCTGTACCTACACCTTCAACGTTAAAAAACAAATCAATGGAGGAAATATTAAATGCTTGGAATAAGGAACTTACAACTCATACTCGTGAATTTCATAAACAAGCTGCTCAAGTGGCTGAATGGGATAAACAATTAATTGAAAATGGAAACAAGGTAAATATATATATATATATATTTAAAAAAACCAACTCATTATTATTTATTATTGTTTAGATTTCCAAATTAAACAGTAGTGTGGAACAAGTGGAACAACAACAACGTGAAATAGATCAAACTTTGGAATATATCAATGCACAACAAGATGATTTGAATCGTATCTTGCATGACTATGAAAAACAAATTGGTGAAGTATATGAACAGAGCAATTTGAAACAACCTATGCAAGCTGCAGATACACAACGTGAAAAAGCCTATGGCCTAGCTGAAAACTTGAACAAACAAATGGATGATATTAGTCGCAATTTGACTGTAATGATTGATGAAATCAATAAAATGGGTGGACCTCAACAATCAGTGACAGATAATGAAGATGATGTGGTAAGGCGGGATGTTAGAATGAAAAAAAAAATAATACAGAAGGATTTAATTTTTTTTTTTTTTTTCAATAGGTTGGTCAAATTGTCAAAATTCTCAATTCTCATTTATCTTCTCTTCAATGGATTGATTCTACATCGGTTACTTTAAAACAGAAATTAGATGAAGTGGGCAAATTACGTGATGCAACAACTGTTGGTCGACAATAGTTTATATATATATATATATATTTTTATTTTACATATATACTTTCCAATAAACGAATTTGTTCTAAACTGAGTCTAGCTCCCAGGAGACGAATCTCCCAGGAGATTGTCGTGGTGTAATGTTGAATAATCAGTCTTAAAGCCTGTTTTTTTTCAATGGTGCCATTTGCTGGTTATCAGTAGTTGCCACCCCCCGCCAAGCATATGGTCAACGCCGCTTGTATGTCTCGACCTTGAGTTGAAGAGCAGTTCTTGACAGCCCAACAGTCCTTGTTCACACAGACAGACCCCCCCGTTTACTTTTCGGTACTTGCCATCGGTTTTTCGCATCTGTCTAATAACCTTCGAAAAGCAAAACACATGTCATGAACGTGACAGGAGAAAAGGTATAATATCAGTAAACAGACAGACAGGCAAGACAGAAGTAACTATATATGTGCTTACGAGAATAGAGTAGTTGTTTGATGAGAATAGAATAAACAATGTAAAAGTAATTGTTGACCAAAGATAACACATAATTGTTGTAGAAATAACGTATTTATACCTAAACTAAAAAGGAGAGACTAACTAATGTATCATTGTTGTAATGAAGGAGAACCAAAGGGGACAAGAAAAACAGGAAGAAAAGAGGAGAAGAGAAAGAAAGGGGAAGGTGAGAAAAAACAAAAGAAACAAGAAGGGACTATTAATTCAGACTCAGAATATGATCACCATGCATTGGGGACAATTCCGAATATCTGATATATATGTCTGATATCTGGAATATATGCCATATCTTAACGCCAGCGATCCGACATTATAAAGCATATACCTGGAATCCAAAATGTCTTGTCTGTAACTCGTGTGTAAATGTCATTATACTACCTTTTTTTTTTTTTTTATTGTAATAAGCATTTTTCGTGTGGATGTCTGTTTTCCTGGGACTATAGATTTGATGTAAAGTGTAGACTATAGATTTTTTTTTTTTTTTGGGTGGAGTGGAAGATTGATAGGTAGGACAGAAGACCAAAAATAGTCAACAAGTTATTTGTTAATCTTTAGTTTTTCATATTTTTTTTTTTCATATATCAATAAAAATCTTTTATTATTATCATCATTATTCTGTAAAAATTTGACACTGACATGCACAATTACTAACAGGACAGCTGGAATGTTTTTGAAACCAATCAAATAAATGTAAAGAATGACCTCCATGTCGACAAGTTTGACACCATGTAAACCATAAACCAAAATTAGAGGGATCGACTATAATCATATATATATAGATATATAAAGTATTTAGTTTCTCTTGTAAGTAAGCTTTTTGAATAGGATAATATTTTCTATGTCTTTTTTTTTTTTTTTTTTACCATTATTTGCATCGTTTGTTGCCATGGCTTGTCGTACAGAGTCAATAGGTGTTCCCATATGAAGTAGACATAATGCACAACGTGGTAATGGTTTACGACAACTAGGACATACTGTAGCCTAAGAATAGAGTTATAAAATCATTAAGATGAACTTTCATTCGTTATTCCCTTTTTTCCCCTACTTTTTGTTTGCCACTAATACGACTACTTGAAGCTGGAGAAATATTGGCTTGCACATTCATTCTTTTCCCATCCCTACTACGTATATTTTGAACCAATAGACTATGTCCTAGAGTCTGAGCACAATAAGTACATCGGACATACACTTGAGGGGAAGCAATATCTTCTGATGCATTCATATATTTTCCACGTTCGATATCAAACTTGGCCCTAGTATGCCAAAATTGCCATCTATCTAATAATAATCGATAACTTTTTTTTTTTTTTGATTACTTTACTGATCAACATTATCACAAAAAAAAAAAAAAAGATTACCTCTCAATCCATTCTTCTGCTCGAGAATCTTGTAATCGTCTAGGTACCACAAAACTAACAAGGAGAGCAGCCGTTTGAATATCACCATATCGATTCACCATTTTTTCTAATAAATCTATTCCTCGTGTACTTAATCCTGTTAAAACTAAACCTTCAATATCGCCATCCATAATCACTTGATCCATAGTACGACCCAAATATAATGTCAACTATTTATATAAATAATAGGAGAGTTAAATTCTTCTACGTTGTTATTCAAAAAAAAAAAAAAAAAATAAAGATAAAACTTACCTGATCATCATCTAAAAATCGTAATGCAATTGCAACTCTTTCTTGAAGTGGTATAGCAGTTTCTGTCAACACCTGATCCCAATTACTAGAAGCTATATATTGGAAAATAGCCTTTAAATAGGGACTATCGACTAAATCTTTGCTTAATGATTCACATAGATGACGCCATGTAGGTGTTGGATCTGAGTTTGTTTGATAACCTGCAAGTACTACAGACATGAGTTTGCGCTGTTGCCCTATTGAATATAGAAAAAAAAAACAATGGAGCATTGATTACAAAATGGATCTTTTTTTTTTTTTTTTTTTTTTTTTTTTTTTTTTTTTTTACCATCCTCTTTTGTGACATCTTGTATATTAGAAAGACATTCTATTGCTCGATCGGTAAGACCATTAAAAACAGACCAAGCTGCAGCCTTATCATATTCACCATTTGCTTCGAAGCTACACTCGAATAAAAAAAGAAAATCCCATCAATATAGTTTACTTTCAGATATCCTCCTTTTTTTTTTTTCCTTTTCTTACTTTTTCAATATTTCTTCTAGTTGATTTTTAGTCATATCAAATCCACAAGTGGCCAAGGCGACTTTACGTTGATCGGATTTGGTCGTGGATGATATAATATAAAGTTGATCTTCTTGTTGTTGTTGTTGTTGTTGTTGTTGTAGTGCTTGTTGTTGCTGTTTTTCCATATCAGTATTGGGTGATGTAGGTTGTGAATCTTTTTTTCGACCAGCAGAAGATCGCTTTTGAGGGGAAGATATATTAGGTCGAGGAGTACTTGATGGAGATGCCTTCCTTCCTTGAGATCCTATATAAACCGATGAAAAAATCATCTCTTATCATATAAAGTATTCTATTTACCTGGTCCCATCCATATTTGATAAACTCCTCTAAGATTATAATCCATATTATTAAACTGGCCTGATTTATTGATCACTTTTACTGCTCCTATAAAATGTATTGTTAAAGGACATTGCACCGATGCTTTTCATTATTGACTTCTTACTTTCCATCCATAACCAAGTTTCGCCTAGTTTTCTATCTTTTTCGTTCACCATTCGGTAGTTTTTTTCACACTATTCATAGATGGAAATGAGTATACTTTTCTTGGTCACCATTTTGTTTCCTTCTCTTACGTTCATGAGATAACCGTTCTGTGCTCGTTGTCGCATAATAACGCTGATATCGTCATCCAGTTGACGGAGGGAAATAATACTTTGACTATATATATATATATATATATATATATATATATATTCGGATTGAGTTATATGAATTATTAAATTTACTCGTCAATAGTCTGGCAATCTATATATTTTTTTTTTTACTGACTTTTCGATAGGAACTATTTTTGAAACGTGGTTCTTCGGAGAGTACATGACCGTTTGCTTTTGTTTTAAGCTGGAAGCTATAAATCCACCTTGAGGTTGCCATGATAAATTGATTATATTAGAAAGGTTGTCAGAGACAGTATCAGTCATCGATTGTTTAAGCTTTTTTCTTTTTTTTTGTTTTAGGGATAAATAAGAAAAGAAAAAAAAAAACCAAAAAAAAACCAAAAAAAAAAAAAAACCAAAAAAAAAAAAAACCAAAAAAAAAAAAAAACGACCAGTGATCTTTCACAGTCGAGAAAAATTACTGGAGTTTTCCATTCGCGCTTGGCGGGTGGCCGGATTTTTTTAACGTGCAAATTAAAAAAAAAAAAAAAGGACTTTATATTTTCTTGGGTGCTCTTTGGGTTCCCAGGACTTTTGACTTGGAATAAGCATAAAAAGGCGCCCTTTTCTTTTAATTTTTTTTTTCTTGTATTATCAATCACACTCAACAACAAGCTCTTTCGCTTCCTATCACCCTATCTGATCTTCAGCTTCAAGTTGGGAAATACCACGGTACAAGTGCGCGCATTGGAAAAATCAGGACGTTGTGTACAGCCGACACACCTACATCGGGCGACTTCACGATATGGTTAAAAAAAACTTGAAGGTGGATCCATGCCAATTTGGGATCGAGGACAAAGTCATGATCTACAATTACCAATCTTTCGAACGCAAACCATGGTCAAAAACTTATGTTCAATTGGATTGGATCATACAAAGTAATCGATCGATATTCGAACACAGTCTATCAACTTTAATCAAATTCAGCCAACTCTCATACAATTATTTGTTTCATCATAGTCGCCCTGAAGAAATCGAACTTTTTTTTTTTATTTTCTCCAATCTGTAGCATCAACAAAGAGAGTAAAACGAAAGAAAATATACACTATTATAAGAAGGCTAGCAAACTAATATCATTCACTGATAAATCAAAAAAGTATTCTATTCAAGAATAAACAAAAACAAAACATGATCTGGTGACCAAACTAAAAAAAATGTGGTGAATTAAAATTCAACATTATCGGTGCGCGTAATCGCCTTCCTCTTCCTCCCATTTTTGCTACTGTGCCAAGAAAATTTTACAAAGAGGTTTTCTAAGATCTTTATTCACTTTATTATTCTATTTTGCCATCATCTCCTTTGCTTTCAACTTCTCCTCTCATTCTCTTTACTGACTATCAAAACCACCAGACAAAGTGCTTTGCAACGTAAGTTATTTATTACTCTTTTTTTTTTTTCTTCTATTTTTCTGACAGCTTTTTTTTTTTTTTTTTGTAGCTGGTTCTATCGATGGCTTTGTTACTGCTACTGGTCGTATAGGTGTTTGACTATGGGAATCAATTCGCATTAACTCCTGTAGTGGGTGCTTAATCTTGATATGTTTTGGGAATCCTATGATGTGGACGCGCTGATCGTTGAAACGGAGGACCTACCTTGTCTCTGTTAATACCTGTACGCGTCAGGGGTGGTGACGTGGGAACGAAGTTTTGCTACTGCAACAAAAACAACAAAAACGGTCCCTTGTTTATGGCGTGGTTAGGCATGATCGAATATCTAACGTATGCATTGCTACCTTTGCCGTTGTTGGCCTATTCAAGGTAAAAAAAAAAAAAAAAAAAAAAAAAAAAAAAAAGTAACTGACGATATAACAATAAATGTTATGGCTCTTCGAATTTGATTGTAGAATCCTATCTGTATTCAAGGATGGATCTCAAGCGGATGTTAACAGTTTGGAACATGTACAAAAAATCATGGAAGAAATAAAGAATTACCCTGCTGAAAGAATATACAACATGGATGAATCAGGTTTATTCCATTGTATGGCGCCAAAAAAAAAAAATTAGTCAACAATGAACGATCTCCATCTGGAATTAAAGTTGAAAAGGCAAGGATCACTATCGTTTCCGAAACAATGCTGATGGATCGCATAAACTTTTATTTACGTTTTTGTTGGACATACAACATCTAACAACCTACCATTTTATGACTCCTCTTCCCGAGATGAAAAAAAAAGAAACGTGAAATGACAAGTGACAAAATAAATAATGACAAGCTCAAGCTCTTAATTGAATCAAAAATCATTTTAAATGAATTTATGACAAGATGCCCGATAGTGGATCCAAAGTATATCAAGATTCACAGTAACCAAGTTTGTGGTAAATGGTTGTTGAGAGTGTTCGGGAGGGGGTTGACTTGACTGACTCGTTATTATCATCATTATAGGTAACAAAGCAGAGATTGTCCCACTTCAGCTTGTAGACAATGGATTTTTGGTATTCAAAATGGACCGTCAACTTTTTGTCGTGCAATATATTTGGCGCTCAAGAATCTGATCAACACTTGCGTCGTGGCTTACATAGATGATATCATCCTTCATTACAACAACATGTGGAAGATCTGGAAAACTTTCTACAACATATCATTTTGGTGCGTTCTTGAAAATTTCTTATTTTTTTATGTCCATTTTTTATTTATTATTTTGGTTACTTTTCTCATTGGATCCGTCATCGTCGTCATCGTCGTCATCGTCGTCATCGTCGTCATCGTCATCGTCACCTACAAGCATCGATCTTTATTTTTTTTTGTTACGACGCTCAACGACAATGTCTTCGCCTAAAGTCGGTCATGAATACCAATATTGCCCTGGCCTTTGCCGTCGTCATGGAGACGGTGGAACCTGAAGAAGACGACTATTGTGTTGGTGACAGTGCGTTACAGGACATCAGTCAAGTTTTCAACAAGAATGTCGACTTCGCTCCAACAGTACGAAATAATTGTGGAGGTTCAGAACAACGTTGATGACAAATTCATTTGTCGCCTTATAAGATACGCGACATCAATCTACATCAAATACTCCAAATGGACCTTATGCGTGACAATTGCTGTAACGGAGCCATCCTTCAGAATAAAAAGTAAAATGGACGTATCATCGGCGATTCCCGTTGCCTTGGAAATAAAGAATCAATGCTGGTCGCCAGGTGTATTCTTTATAACACCATCAAGAGTGAAGACAATTCCAAAGGAGGCTTTCACGCCTCTAACATCGATTAGCTATTTCTTGCAACAGCAATCACCTACCCCACAGCTTCTTGTTAGCGGCAAAACTCCGTTATCGACAGATGCTATGAACTCTCCTATCAATACTTAAATATGCACCAAACAACAACAACAGCTGAATCACCATCACCGTCATCGTCATCACTAACAACCGAAAGAATAAGAAGAGCAAATGATGATAATTGCTCATATCGTGGTAAAAGGTTGAAGGTACGTTAAAAAAAACATTTCCAATACTAAATATTTGAAAATGAAAATTGATAAGGGGCAAGAGATAACCAACGCGGCATTTTTTTTCTCTAGAAAATTACAAAAAACTTGAGAAATACTGTATAGCTACTATGTGGCATCCAAGATCTGACATTGACAGGTGATAGCGGACAGTGATATGACTTTTCTTTTTTTTTTATGAAATTTATTATTTACGCCCAATTTTTTTTATGCCCTTTTCTTTCCTTTTGTCTTTCTTTCCTTTTATTTTTTTTTTTATTCTTATTTTATTTATTTTTTTTTTCATTTTTTATTTGAACCGTGTTTACCACGGTAAGTACATTCCTTAACTTTTTTTATGTTTTATTAATTATGACTCTTATGCTCAAAATAAAATTATAGGTTCTTTTATGCTTCAAATACTCTTTTTATTGTCTCGTCTCATTTCAGCAGGCTACAATTCCGGGATATTACTGTACAACAAGAAGGAACAAACTGGTCCATCACACTGCATGTTCGTGAACCAAAAGAAATTCAAGTAAAATCAACCACTTTGGAAGAGATTGGCGAGGATCAATTATGCCCTGTTAGAACGATGAGGATTTTCTTGGAAAAAACAGCAAATCTTCGACAACACTTACCATTAGATCACACCCTATTCTTGACATACTTAGAAGACGACTACAAACCAACAAATTCCGTTCGACCAGCTACAGTGGCAAATTGGATAAAACAAGAAATGACAACGGCTGGTATTGATACCAAACATTTTCAAGCACATTCGATCAGAGCGGCATCCAGTACAAAAGCAGTGGAAACCGGCCATGCAATCCAAGAAGTAAAAAAAAACACGCAAATTGGAGCTTGTCAACGAACACTTTTGAACGACACTATTATAAACCTTCATCTCAAAGATCTTCCAGTACGGCGATTAGCAATTCAATTTTTTCTTCGGATAACAGTATCACATTGGAAGTCGGAGTGGAGTCAACTCGAATTGGATTAGAAACGACACGCAATTCAAAGGTTGACGAAACGAAGACTAAAAATGTGATACATACCCGCCCTTGGTACCGATCTTTCTGGTAAAAAAAAAAAAAAAAAAAAAAAAAATCTTAGTTAGTTTTCTACCCTCCCAAAAAAAAAAATTTGAATTTATTGCTAGCTTAGAAGATATGGGGAAGAAAGGGTATTATTAATTTAGTTTTGAATATATATATATATATATGGAAAATAAAAGCGCTCTAGAGAGTATGTATCACATTTTCTGTCTTCGTTTCATCAACATTTGAAATATGAATTTCATTTTATTTTACAAAAATCAATTTTAGATTTCCTCAATTGACTTTGTTTTGAAATGAAATGGATCTGGTAAAAATGAAATGCATTTCAGGTACAAAATCAAAGAGAAAAAAAAAATGGTAAGTCGATTCAAAGTCCGTCATCAGCATAAAGGAACTCTATTTCCTTCGTCTTCGCTTTTCTTTCTTGTTTAATTCACTTTTTTTTTTAACATGACAAACTCTAGCTCATTCTGTGCTTTCCATATTACCACCAGCATTATCAAGCCAAATATTGGTTGAAGAACACTTTGGATACCATTACCGTTTAGTACTGAAACAAAAGAATTAGCGCAGAAGTGGTAAAATTCACAAGAACATCTTGAAACAACAAGGAGCGGCTCATCTTATTTTTTTTTTCTATTTGGTTGGACTCTCTTTCTCTCCCTTTCTCTCATTGTGGTGTTGTTTTCTTCAAGATCTTTTTTCCTGCATTGTTAGTGTTTGTCCTTTGTTTTTTTTTTCCCACTTGATATGGTGTTTCCATATTATCATTCTATCTCGTGGTCTTAGGTTACTACTCCTGTTCTTTTGGTTATCTCCATTCTCTTTGACAAAAAGTCAACAAAATATACTATACGTAAAGTGCTTTTGGTTATCTCTTTCACGTTGGTTTTTATGATTGGTACATCAATATCGACGCCTGATATAGCTAAGTAATAAGTATATATAAAAGAGAAAACAAAAAGTGAAAAAGATCGATGGATTACTACTCACTGTGCTTTTTTTTTATTTGTTAGGTATCAGGATAGCGGTCTATACAATCAAATGTTGAATGGTCATCATTACTTTATACTTAGCTTTTGGTCAGACGAAGATCATGGTGTATTGAACTTTGTTTGTTTACGGGCAATGGACTTGGTCGAGGATGATCAGTTTCTAGAATCGTTTATGAATCTAGTGACTGAATTTTGTGCTCAAGTAGGTAGAAGACAAAATGCAACACGTAGGAAATTCAGTTATTGTCTGTTGATCGTGTTGTTTCATGGTGGAGTCCTTGTTAAGTCCTGACATTTGCGGTATCTGGTTTGGAAAGATTATTGAGGATCACATCAATGACTGATAGTGGAGCGCTATACGTAAGACGATACAACTATCTTTCTTGATGATCTGAAATTGTCTGATATCTGCATTTAGCAAGCCTTTATTTCTCGTGGTACAGAACGTTCGATGGTGCAGCCAAGGCAACTTGTACATAGAAAAAAGAAAAGAAAAAGAAATAAACGTTGATGGATTACTACTCATTTTGTTGATTTTATCTATAGCTTGCTAGATTATCGTCTATATAATAAAGATGATGCAAACATTCAATGATATAGCCAAGGTAACATTTATATAGAAAGAGAAAAAGAAATAAACATTGATGGATTACTACTCATTTTATTGATTTTATTTGTAGCTTGCTAGATTATCGTCTATACAATAAAGGTGATGCAAACATTCAATGATATAGCCAAGGTAACGTTTGTATAGAAAAAGAAAAAGAAAAGAGAGCATTGATAGATTACTATGCACTTTGTTAATTTCATCTGTAGATTGTAAACCATTCAACAAAACCAAGATCGAATGCCTTCTACGTTGGAATGGCTCTGTTAGACATCCAATTGAAATATCTGTATCAAATAAAATAGTCCTACCTGAAGTGCAAGTCATGATCGTTGTCCTGGTGATGGCATTAGTTGTGATTCCGGTTGTAGTTCTGGTCGTAGTTCATGGATATTATCGATTATAGCGTAGTTACTTATTATTATAGTTATGTAGTATAGTTATGTAGTATAGAATATTTGTAGTGATGAAATAAAATTATGATTTCAATAGTATATTTGTACTGATCAAATGAAATTCCTTGTTCTGGAGGTCGACCATACCTATATTTCAACCGTAATAGTATCCTACCTAGATTTAGTATATTTTTGTCATAGATTTATTGAAGTCAAATATTTTTATTATTTCTATCCTATCTATTTAGGGGGGGGTAGTCCTAGAGGTCCTAGAATGCATATCTAGGCTAGAAATTGCATAGGAGTCCCCTAGACGTCATAGTAATTTTTTTGCGATGATATATATATATATATATATATAATATGATGTATTGATGTATTGATGGGTGCTGGACGATGGATGATGACTACCAAATATATTGGTGATGATGACACAATACAGTAGTTAATACCCATCAAATCTTCGTATAGCTTTACTCCAAAGCCATATCACGACCTCCAATATCGTCTATAAGGAAGCCCTGATTTCAGATTCGTAGCTTTTTTTTTTTTTTGAATTTCCAGACCAATAAAATCAACCTTCAATCAATCTTTCATAGTTCTCCCAAAAAATGTATGATCCATATCATCCTATCAGCAAAATAGTCCATACTTTTTCAACAAAAATAAACATTCACACAAGTCTTTGATTTCCAAAAGCTCCAACGGAGCAATAGAGCGTTTATTATTATTTCTTTAAAAAAATATACAGTATACACTACAGGTAAGCAGCAACTATCCACTATACAGTGAATCATTTATTGAAACAACTAAAACTACTAGAAGGATGTACAAGTGTAACAGTTAAATGGTCTTCATGATAAGATTCCTTGATTCAAACGTACCATAACAATATATTTCCATCTTGCTTTTCGTCACACGCCCAGGTAAGTTATTCAGTGTCATTCAGCCCACACGGTAGAAAAGCAATCTATAAAAATAAATACATAATGAAATTCATACATTAGTAAAAAAAAAAAAAAAAAAAAAAAGATAGTAGTGATGATGATGACCAACACATAGATGGTAATATCAGTCCGTTGACTACCATAGTCAAGCAACAGCAAACTGTTGAAAGTTTTGCCACCACAAGAATAAGGGATTTGTCACGACAAGGAGAGCCGTCAAAGTCTAACAAAACTGAGTCGAACGAGCTTGTACATTGTCTTTCTATGTCCTTCAACAATCTAAAGCCGGGTCGCCTTGCGGTCAAAGTTCGAACCATCAATGTATTGGAAGCAATATCAGTCCGTTGACTACCATAGTCAAGCAACAGCAAACTGTTGAAAGTTTTGCCACCACAAGAATAAGGGATTTGTCACGGCAAGGAGAGCCGTCAAAGTCTAACAAAACTGAGTCGAACAAGCTTGTACATTGTCTTTCTATGTCCTTCAACAATCTAAAGCCGGGTCACCTTGCGGTCAAGTTCGATCTTCCAAACGTGAAGCCATCATCAATAGTAAGGGAAAAAAGAAAAAAGGAAAAAAAAAGAAGAGGTAAAAAGTTCCCGATTTTGTACACGTAAACATAAGGTGTGACTTACTTTATCGAGCGATGGGAGGGCAAAAACTTGAGTTTGAATTTAGCCAATGCACATGAGAGAACATTTTAATTTCAGAGATCGCTGGTAACTTAACTTTTACTCTCTCTCTTTTTCGCGATACCGCATAATGACTATACCAAAATGTCATCCAAAAGACATTAATTTCAAGATTAATGGTGATATCGATGTACCAATTTCACGCTTTTTTAGGGAAGTTCCCGCACGCGACTGGTGCTTTCCAAACTACTGCGAATGGCATCGAAATACGTCTTCAACTCTCAAAGTGAACCGACTGAACCTCAACTACCGATCTAGCTTGGCGATTATAAAAGAAGACAAGCGCATACCTCCTACTATAAAATCGTTTGTTGGATACTTATTGGCTACGCAGGTATATACTATACGTTGGTAAATTATTTACATGTGAACTGATATTTTGTTTTGTAGGGAAAACACGAACTGGATAATACGCCAACAAACATTTATCAAAACAGTCTTGTAGGATGTCATGTGGATACATTTAATCAGACAAATTACCAAACTCAAACTAATGGTAAAATAATATGTTTTTATTTTTATTTTTATTGATTCTTGACTTACTTTTTTTTTTTCTTTTTCTTTTCCGTTCTCCATACATAAACCAACGGCAATATCGATAACTATAATGGACTAGATGCTCAATCACCGCGATCTCTGGAAGATGGCATAATAAAAGGTATATATATTCCTTATTGATTTCTAAATACTACAATATACTCACACTTTTCTTTTTGGATATCATTAGATATACCGAACGTTATTTCGGATGGGTATGATGATTTAGCTCCTGAAGCTGAACCATGTCAACATGTAGATGGTAAATTGTTGCACTGCTGATTACTGGATACTTTCAAGATGCTTATCTTTTGACTATTTATAGGTCCACCCAATTCTGATGAAGATGACGCTGATAATGATTTTGTGGACGGCATTCTACCTTGTGAAAAAGAATCTGCTGTTGCCCATGTGGAATCTGAGTTACTTCGCCCTTTGTATGGCTATGTCTATTCTTTGGTAAGTATCACACAATAAACAGGTTTCTCGTTGTGACGTGTCGAATACTGATGCTATCTCTTTTATTTGTGTAGTTTAAGGGGGAGGAACCTGACCTACAACATTTGAAATTGATCGATGAAACGTCATTACAAGCCAAAATCTACAATCATTGCGTAACAGTTATGAAGGATTTCAAGAAATTGGACCGATGTGGCAAATCATTTTTAAGGTAACCCGCTTATCTCTTACTGTTTACATCGATTTGATTCACTGGTAAATATTTGCCTTATTTTTTTTTTCTTTCCTCTAGTGTCTTTTTATCTGGAATGATCAACACCATCAGTGTGCAACATCGCCCTTGTGTAATGAGTTGCTTGTCTAGAAACGTGCTCAAGTCAATTTTAGATACTTATCCAAAGGATGCATTTATTTTATACCAAAATCGTGATGTAGAATCAATTGTCTTGAACCTGAAAGTGGTAAGTTAAAAACAAAGCTGCGAGTGACAGATGCATCTAGCTTAAATATGATGTAAACCTTATTGATATTATTAGATCTATATGAACGAAGGTATTACTGGTGTCAGAAAGCTGATCTTGAAGAAGAAACTGGATGCATATGGAGCAGGCGTTGATGTCAAAGGATCAACGACGATGGTAGTGTTAGATATTATTGATCATGTGTAAGTAAAAATAATATTCGCATAGAAATAAATCACTCACCCACTTTACCCTCTGTAATTATAGACTAAATATGGTGGAGTATTCAACTTGGAAAAATGGACAATCAGAAGCTGAATACTTTGATTATTGGAAACCCATTTTTAAAATACTCTTTCGTGATACACCGGCAGTAGAGTTGAAGACGTAAGTTACAAAAGTTAGTTGTTAAAGGAAAAATTGTCTATACTGGGTGAAAGAAGCTAACCATGATATTGTATTGATATGATTATTATCCATATAGTGGGGAAACGGCCTGCACTGCTACCAAGTACGATAGACAAGTGAATGAACTGGAACATGGAAACATCAGAAAAAGCGTTGGTGGACGAAAGATTGATATGCTTGTATGCTCTGTCGATGATGATGATCTTTTTGAACTAACTTCTGCTGAATTTAAGCCTATGGGTGTATCTGAAATTACTGAAACTATCCAACTAAACAAGAACTTAAGAATCAACAAGAGTATTTTGTCAAGATTGGTCAAGCATATTGGTGATCCAAACGTTGGCGTTATAGGCATGGATATTATTGGTAAGCTACTAACGTTTTTGCCCCTCTTCTCTTTTAGAAAATAATCAAATTCTCATTTTTGGTTGTGCACTTTATTATGTAGGTCTGGCTGGTTACATGTACTCAGTCAAAATATATGATAATATTGTTACAGCTGTCAAGCTCATGGACGATGATTTATTCCTGCCTTCAGATATATTGGAATTGGACGATTGGATGAAAATTAATACATTGATCCCAGCACTCTTGAATTTCAAGGTACTGTAATGACGGACAAGGAAAGAAAGGTGGATGTAGAATATCCTAATCTGTTAGCTCTTTTTTTTTTTTTTTTTTTTTTTTAAAAAAATAGAGTCATACGTTAAACTTATCAGATCAAGTAATGGTAGCAACAAGATCTAGAAAACGCAAGCGGCAAACAAGCAAAACTACGCGTGTCACCACACCTCCTTACCTTTCTCCTATCAAGATGCCACCTACGTTTTTCACTCCAAAGCGATGAATCAGGTCCTCCTTTTTTAGTATGATACGTCTATTATTCTCTCCAGATATATCTGTTATATTTCTTTATACCGTTCTGTTCTTATATTCAATAAATATTATCTCTGTGTTACTGTTTTCAATATACTTCTCCGTCTATGATGATGGTGATTCTTTCGAGATGTATCTCCAACAACAACGCTATGAAGATAATTAAATGATACACGTGATATAAAATCAGTCACTGTTGTATAATACTATATAGTCAATTTGTATACCTAAGAAAAAATACACCTAACTATTCAAAGATCATGATGTTGTTTTCGTTCTTGATCGTTTTGAGTAAATCTTCAATGAAAGGTCTTGGGTTTTGTAAGGCCTCTTTCATACGTCATTGGTCTTTATCTTATTTGTCTCCTCCTACTTGGTATGATGTTTACCTCTTATCATTCTCTTCAATAGTCTTGGACTATTAACCTTACCCTTTTTCTTTTGTTAATAGACACAGGAACAAATAAAAACCATAGAACTGTGAGAATATCTATTGGGCGTCAGATTGGATTAGTATAGTTAGATTAGGTTTTATCTTTTAGCCAGAAAGCTCTTGAAATAAAATTGAAAAGGATTGTAAAAGGAGTGTTCTTTGATGATGATGAATGAATAATATAATGTGATGAAAGGTGAAAACGCGTGGATGATGGATGTCAGTGCAGTATTCGTATTTGATGTCTTCCAGTTGATTTTATAGAATCACGTCCAACAAATAATTGCTTTCAATTACTTGAACGTTTTATGACGATTGTCTTGAAGATGTAATCGATAATATTGATGTTGATGATGATTGGTTTAAAATGGATTCACAGCATATAAAATGAGTTGATTCATGTTGTTGTATTCTTATGTTAGCGATGCTAGATGACAATACGGAGTATCGAAGAGGATGACAATAATTATAAATAATTCCAAATAAATATACTTTATTTTATTAGAGTAAAAAAAAAAAAAAGAAGAAGAAGGAAGTAAAGCTATCGCTATGTTGCCGATATAAACCTCATAGCTAGGAGTAACAACCATAATCATGCCAATATTCTTGGTTCAATGTGGTACATGCTATGTACAGTATTACCTTGTGATCGAGAATAATTTTAAATTGTTGTCATACAGAAGTATAAAAACATAAAATGTTCTGCATTTTATCCTTTTTCTTTTCTTTTGCAAAGAAATTATGGAAGACAATTCAAAGAAAACCAGCAAGAAAGGAAAAAGAAAAGAAATCCCAGTAAAAGTCCAAAAAACAAAGATAAATGATTACATAAGTGATATCAATAACAATGAATATATCGACGATGCAGACAAACAAAAAAACAACCTTATCCAAAGAACTTTATTTGACAATATTAAAGAAATCAACACTGACAACTATGTTTTTTTCGAAAATGGAAAGGTCAAGGAGATAGTTGGTCTCGACCTAGATGATAAAACTTTATCATTAACCATAAATAATGATTTATTATACAAGAAGAAGAAGAAGAAGAAGGGATTCAAATTGACTAATACTGTTTTTTTCATAAGAATTGGCGGAGAAAAATAAATAATTTGCGTAATTGAATAATATGATTTGCGGGTGAAAAAAGTGTGATTTGCGTTGTATTGATTATACCAAAAAGAGAATATACAAAAAAAAAAAAATAGAAAGAGAAATATGATGAGTAAGTAGTCGTTTTTTTTTTTTTTTTTTTTTTTTTTTTATACTTACAACCGAAGTTTAAACGTCGCAGGTTTCTGCTACCCGGATTAAGGATATAGCTCAAGCATAGAAAGAATGGAATGATGCTAGGCTTATGGATCTCCCCGCCGCAATCGTCCTCAACCTTTTTATTCATTGGGATGACGCGCAGTTTCGAATCACTCTTGATAGCCAAGCTTCCAAACCTTTCTAGCCAACAAATATGATCCAAAATCATCTTTCTATTTTTCTTGTTTGAAAAAGAAAAACAAAAAGACGATTCTGGACCATAGAATCACTAATGTAAATATATATATATATGAGGAGTCAGTATCATGCTTCTTGTTGACCAAATAAAAAAAAAAAGGAACTTACCATAATATGGTTTGTACTATGGATGATCAAATAATATATCAAGACAGCGTATGATGATGTGCGGCAAGTAATATATCAAGATAGTACGATGGATAGAAAAAGTTTCAAATGATATATCATGACAGTGAAGAGATATGAAATAAAAAAAAGATTATAAAGAAAAAGAAGAAAATAAAAAGACCAAGAAAGCACATTTTATAGAAAAACAGGTTCTTTGTTTCCAGTTAGTAACAAGTTGTCAATACTAGATCCGTAGTGATCTGATGATGATTGGTTCATTTATGCAGAGAAATAATGAAAATAAGAAAAATAAGTCTTGTTCTTGGAAACAACCAAGTCATTAATATACGTATCCCCCTTATACGATCACCTCGTTCTAAAAAAAGATTGTCAATACTCATTTGTCATCAGATGGTCATTGTTTATTTGTTACAAAAAAGTATTAAGAAAAAAAAAACTCTTGTTTTTAGTACAATCAAGTTATCCTTGTTCTTAGTCTAATTTTATTTCCATAGAATCTTCATCGTTCTTGTTCACCGTTAAATTCGATGTAGATAAATACAAGTAGTCTCAATGATATTCCTTGTTATTTTATTTATGACGAAGTGTCTACAGTACATCAGAAAATTTTTACCATTTACTTGTTTGAATAATAATATCGTGATGAATTGATTTCATCCCTGTTTTTGGTTGGTCACCAGATGTTTATTTTTTTTATTTTTTTTTTTTAGTTCAGAGTATGATTATATACGCTCCTTATTTCTGGTTCTGATGATATCATAAATTATCATTAGTACATTGGTTCATTTAGAATAGGTAAATGTTATTGATATTTATTGACAATGATGTCTCTAGTAGTACGCTATCAGCAGTGATTTTCAAAATCCGTTGTTTTTCTTTCTTCCAAACTCTGCGGGGTAAATCGTGCACTCTACTTCACACAGGAGCATTTTTATAAAAATAGATAGTACTAAACGTCATAATAATTATATTTTAGACAAAGAAATATTTTATTTAAACAAAAGATATTTTTACAAAAAAAAAAAAGAAAAACATAAAGAAACAAATAACTAAATAATAACAATAATAAAAACATTATAAAGAATACGCACAATACTGATCACCGCAAATATATTCATAACTCCAATGCAAACAAGTCTCTAATCACAACGCAGAAAAATAAAAAATAAACACACTTCACATGGAAAAACCAGTAAACTTAAAAAGCTGATGCACTTTCTCTTGTTATCTATTCCTCTTTACTCACTTCATCCTTCTTCCTTGTTTTTTTTTCTTTTTTATTTTGATTGTTGTTTGGTTGAAGAAAAGAACCTGTAGATCTTTTTTTTATTATTGAAATAAAGATAGCATAAACTTTTACTTAGTTTTGCGGGAATTCCAACTGGACGGTGGTGCAAACGTAAAAAGAAGACAGCGCAAATTCACTTTTTATGTTGTGCAAATTTTATTTGGGTCAACGCAAATTGGTAGGAAAAACCCAGTAAATGTGATAGTTGCTAGAATATTCTGGATAGCTTCTTATTTGATTTTGAAAAAAGAAAAGAAAAAAGGTACAAAAATTAAAAAAAAAAAAACTTATTTCTGAAATTTATGTGGTGCCATCCATCAACTTTAATCAAATTCAGCCAACTCTCATACAATTATTTGTTTCATCATTACCTGGCATCCTTTGATCACCAAAATTCAGTACTAAAAGGAATAAAGTCTCATTGAATCTCTCTCCCTTGTTCTTATTTATCCATTATGGAAAGCGAACTTTTTTTTTTTATTTTCTCCAATCAAGAGAGTAAAGCGAAAGAAATATACACTATTACAAGAAGGATAGCAAACGAAAAACAGAAAACTGATAAATCAAAAAAGTATTCTATTCAAGAATAAACAAAAACAAAACATGATCTTGTGACCAAACTAAAAAATGTGGTGAATTAAAATTCAATATTATCAGTGCGCGTAATCGCCTTCCTCTTCCTCCCATTTTTGCTACTGTGCCAAGAAAATTTTACAAAGAGGTTCTCTAAGATCTTTATTCACTTTATTATTCTATTTTGCTATCATCTCCTTTGCTTTCAACTTCTCCTCTCATTCTCTTTACTGACTATCAAAACCACCAGACAAAGTGCTTTGCAACGTAAGTTATTTATTACTCTTTTTTTTTTTTTTTCTGTTTTTCTGATAGCTCTTTTTTTTTTTTTTTTTTTTTTTTTTTTTGTATCAAGAACTGAGACTATCTTTATGCGGCTCTGTCACGTAATACTAGGGATCATTTCGCGATAACTCTCGTAGTAGGTGCTTAATCTTGTTATGTTTTGGGAATCCTATGATGTGGACGCGCTGATCGTTGAAACGGAAGACCTACCTTGTCTTTGTTAATACCTGTACGCGTCAGGGGTGGTGACCTGAGAACGAAGTTTTGCTGCTGCAACAAAAACGGTCCCTTGTTTATGGTATGGTTAGGCATGATCGGATAGCTAACGTATGCATCGCTACCTTTGTCGTTGTTAGCCTATTCAAGGTAAAAAAAAAAAAAAAAAAAAAAGTAACTGATGATATAACAATAAATGTTATGGCTCTTCGAATTTGATTGTAGAATTCTATCTGTATTCAAGGACGGATTTCAAGCGGATGTTAACAGTTTGGGACATGCACAAAAAATCATGGAAGAAATAAAGAATTACCCTGCTGAAAGAATATACAACGTGGATGAATCAGGTTTATTCCATTGTATGGCACCAAAAAAAAAAAATGGTTAATAAGGATGAACGATCTCCTTCTGGAATCAAACTTGAAAAGGCAAGAACAACTATTGGTTTTTTTTTTGCAACCAATGCTGATGGACCGCATAAAACTTTATTTACGTTTTTGTTGGACATACAACATCTAACAACCTACCATTTTATGGCTCCTCTTCTCGAGATGAAAAAAAAAGAAACGTGAAATGACAAGTGACAAGATAAATAATGACAAGCTCAAGCTCTTAATTGAATCAAAAATCATTTTAAATGAATTTATGACAAGATGCCCGATAGTGGATCCAAAATATATCAAAATTCATAGTATTCAAGTGGTAAATGGTTGTTGAACGTGTTGATAGGGTGTTTGACTTGACTGACTCGCTATTATTATCATTATAGGCAACAAGGCTGAAATTGTTTCGCTTCAACTTGTAGATAATGGGCTGTACATCACTACACCATTATCAAGGTTGTCAATGCCAAAGTCCCCTCTAGAATTTGTCGATGGTTCGATGGAATGGTTTGGTGCGCTTTTCAATTTCAAGGTATTCTTCTATTAATTCGCATAATCCACCAAATCTATCGGTTAACATACAACACTGTTTTATTTGATTTATGATAGGGTAATAGAATATCAACGCTGCAATGGAAAGTATTTTATAGTTGTCGATCTTCATCAATCGCAATACGACTGGGGAAATAGAATGTTCTACTTTACCGATTCCTATCTTGGCCGAAAACGTACCATCCTTAGCCTGGATACTATGATTGCAAGTGCTGGAACGATGGACTGTGGGCAAACAAATCATCACTATGTTTTCCGAAAAAGCATGGTGTTGGGTCAAGACACAAGTATGCGGCTCTGTGGCAAGACTAGTTTATTGTAGCCATCTTTTATTTTGCCTTTGTATCGTATGTTATCATTTTTTTTTATTAGCCTTATTATAATAAATTACTTTTTATAGTCTATTCCCTGTATATTAGTTAGTTATTTAGTAATTATTCGTGGTAGTTCTTTATTTACTAGATTCTGGAATTACAAGCTGTATCCCGTACGTCAACTCAAATGATGCATTCTGTATATACCAGATTTATCCGGGATCCTGTAATTACAGGATCATTTTTTCTAAGGTGGATGGTGTTGCCATCCTTGGTTGTTTTCTAGTTTATTATATTTTGTTCATAGGCAATCTTATACCCAATAATGAGCATCTACTTCTGATTCATGCCCCCATTAGTCAGATTCAATTGGCTGATTTATATAGATAATAATCTTACTCTTAATAATAATAAAAAAAAAATAATTCATTTACACATTATATAAATATATATGAAAAACTAGACTTAAACTGGTTACTGTATCATGGAAATAGAATGATGTTGTCTTTGAAGATCTTCTATTACTATAGTATTCTTAGTGTCATTACTATCATCAGCTTCAACGCAATATAATCATACTAAAGGCATCATCCATGTCGTAGAGGCCACTCTAAGAATTAGTATTAATGGTGAAGATGATTTTGATTGTGCTTTCAATAAAAAATCATACATACTATAACTATAAGGTCTAATCTAGCTATATCACTATCCCAAAAGCAATGCCCATCCAGTATCCCACATTTCAACCTTCGTCATTCACCTAATTATCTAAATTGATCATAGAAAAAAAATAATTATCTTGTATTTTTAAACTTACTTTTAATAATAGTGATTGTATGTAATAATGTATAGAGGAAATGAAAGGAATAGGATATCATAGTAATGAAATTTGAATGATTTGCGTGTAAAAAAAAAAAAAAAAAATTACCTCAGTTACATCGCTTTTGATTGATAGCATCACAATTAGTGGTATGATGTATAACCTTGATCATGTTGATTGGCCATAATAACGGCACTAATGACTGAAAAAAAAAATAAATAGATTAGAAATGGAATGAGAAAGACGATCGTATGTAGTTATTGTAACACCCTTTTCATTTTTTTTCTATCCTACCTTGAATCATTCCCCTGTTATTTGAGAATGATGATGATGATGATGATGATGATACTAGAGTGATCTTTCTTCGGTGAGACTGACGGATGATGTATGATGACTGTTTATTGAGCTTGATGATAATGCTTTCTATGTTGATGATTTGTTGATGCTGATTTCAATTCCACAAGAATGATGATCATGACGAGCTTTTCTTTTTGTTCCTACTACTTTGTTACACGTCAATGTAATTGATTCCATCTTCCAACGTATTTTTTTTATTCTTTATTTGTGAATGCATTGTTTTTATTTAAAGGATATGGTCATGGAAGGGTGCCGATACTTTGGAGGTACCTCCTAGTGACCGGCCCACAAGATCTCACGCCTGTAAATTCAATTCCGTACGTTTGAAGGAGGTCCCGGATAAGTTACAATAGTATAATAATAAGCTACAATAGTATAAGTGACAGAGGATAATCTTATCTATATTCTATTCAAATTTTTGGCGCAATGATCATCATTATTGGGCGAAAAAAAGTAGACACATTTGTATCTAAATATATATGCATACACACATACGATATGGCCATAATATTATATTATTTTTATACGCTCGATAAATTGTGAGATAATCTAACTATTGCCATTAAGTAAAGTCATAGAGAATAGCTTTATCTATATTCTATCCAAGTTTGGTGCAATGATTATCATTTTTACATGGAAAATAAAGAAGTAGGGAAATATATCTAAGCTTAGATTACTGCAGTAAAATGGTTAAATGGAATTATTTTTTATTAGTTGAAAAAAATGTATTCAGTGTCACACGGGGAGTAGTGTTTCTAGTTCTACCGTTATTTTTTTTTTTTTTTTTTTGGTATTGTTATTGTTATTGTTATTGTTGCTGTAAAAATGAAACGTAAGTTTGGGGTACATTGTCATGCAATGGATATATCATTAACTGAATTTCATGTAAGAAAAAAATATAAGACATTAAACGCTACTAACTAGCCAAAGCAATTACACATGATCAAACATATTTAATATTATATAACTTTACAACCAAAATCACAAACAAATATATGAATTACAAAATACGCATATGATCATAAACTTTTTTAATAAATACACATGATTTTTGTTAAAAAAATATATATAATTTTATTAAATAATAAAAAAAAAAATTATTTTAGCCCCAGAAGGGCAGGAGCAAGATTGTACTCCCCAAGGAGAGCTAGGATTACATCCTTCTGATCGACAAATTCGTCGACCTCATCCTCCCATTCTTCCTTGGTAAAGCGCCTGATTTTTGACATCGTGAAGATGTCCGGGAAGAATAGGAGGATGGGAGAGGAAAATCTTTCCATCAATAGGGACACCCGCTTGCCCCAAGTATAGTGGGCCTACTGATGGCATCAGCACTCAACTGGCCAAGATCTTCTGGCAACGGGACCAAGTCTAGCCGGTGAACGACAGCAGTCAAGAAATCGTTCGTATCACCAGCAAGCCTACAAGCCACCCAGCGTGAATTCCCATTTCTTCTTCATTTTACAAAAAGGCTATTAAGTTGTCAGCCACAGCAACAGCAACTTCTTCATCACTAGTGCAACCTCTTCTTCACCAGAAACACTGATAGTCGTTAATCCTTTTCAAGATGGCGTTCACCTCTCCCCCAGCATTCCAGGTTTATCTAAATTAATATAACTGGTTTGATTAATACCAAAAAAAAAAAAAAGAAAGGACTTGATTTTACCTCGCAATTTCTGGACAATCCTTCGAAACATTCTCTGTTCGGTGTTGGTCAAGGAATCAGCAGTAGTGTATGACATTCTTAACTAAAAGTTGCGAAAAACTGAAAAATAATAAAAAATCAGTCCTTTTTATAACTTTTTCGAAATGTTTAAATAGGCACTATATTTGAAGAGTCACATTCTAAAAGAAGCTGGGTGAAAAATGTGTGACTCTTCAAAAATAGTGCCTATTTAAAGTTAATTCCTGGTGAAAAATGGATGACTCATTCAAAATGAAAGCAGTGTCGTAAATCCGAAATATGAACTTCATTTTGTTTTACAAAAATCAATTTTAGATTTCCTCAATCGACTTTGTTTTGAAATGAAATGGATCTCGTAAAAATGAAATGCATTTCAGGTACAAAATCAAAGAGAAAAAAAAATGATGAAGTCGATTCAAAGTCCGTCATCAGCATAAAGGATATTTCTATTTCCTTTGTCTTCGCTTTTCTTTCTTGTTTAATTCACTTTTTTTTTTTTAACGTGACAAACTGTAGCTCATTCTGTGCCCTCCATATTCGCACAAGCATTATCAAGCCAAATATTGGTTGAAGAACACTTTGGATACCATTACCGTTTAGTAATGAATTAAAAGAATTAGCGCAGAAGTGGTAAAATTCGCAAGAACATCTTGAAACAACAAGAACAAAAGGTGGCTCATCTTATTTTGTTTTTTTCTATTTGGTTGGACTCTCTTTTTCTCTCCCTCTCATTGTGGTGTTGTTTTCTTCAAGATCTTTTTTCCTGCATTGTTGGTCTTTGTCCTTTGTTTTTTTTTCCCGCTTGATATGGTGTTTCCCTATTTTCATTCTCTCTCGTGGTCTTAGGCTACTGTTCCTGTTCTTTTGGTTATCTCCATTCTCTTTGATAAAAAGTCAACAAAGTATACTATACGTAAAATGCTTTTGGTTATCTCTTTCATGTTGGTTTTTATGATTGGTACATCAATATCGACGCCTGATAGTAAGTATATATAAAAGAAAAAAAAAGTGAATAAGATCGATGGATTACTACTCACTGTGTTTTTTTATTTTTTTTATTTGTTAGGTATCAGGATAGCGGTCTATACAATCAAATGTTGAATGATCATCATTACTTTATGCTTAGCTTTTTGGTTAGACGAAGATCATGGTGTATTGAGCTTTGTTTATTTACGGGCAAAGGACTTGGTCGAGGATGATCAATCTCTAGAATCGTTTATGAATCTAGTGGTTGAATTTTGTGCTCAAGTAGGTGGAGGGCAAAATGCAATACGTAGGAAATTCAGTTATTGTCTGTTGATCGTGTTGTTTCATGCTGGAGTCCTTGTTAAGTCCTGACATTGGCGGTATTTGGTTTGGAAAGATTCATTATCTTGGAGGTGGCATTAGTTGGTCCTGGTGAACGTTATCCTTATAGTGTAGCTATTTTATTACTATAGTTATGTAGTATAGTTATGATCACAATAAATAAAAACAATGATATAATATGAATATGATTTTATTGAAGAAGATGATAAATTATACTATATGCTATAGACAACTGTATCTATCCATCAAAGAGTCAGTATGATTAAGATCCAGAGCAAAAAGTAAAATGCTGTCATCTATCCATCCTGTTGATGTCGTTCTCCACGTTGTTTACTCTATCATTGTATGTATTCCATTCCTTTTAATCATCTGTTTATCTAGTTGATCCAGTTGCATGCCCATCCATCCAGCTTGTTCCCTTTGTGTCCTCCTACGTCCATTCAACTTGTCCCATTGTACATCTTAAAACAGAAAAAAAGATGACAGTAGTAAGTATCTAGGTTTGTCTTTCACCTTTTTTTTTTTTTTTTTAGACTTACCATGGTTAGCATTGACTAACTAGACAATATCTAACAGCAACGAACCAAGAGAGGAAAAGAATAATGTCTAGATGATACTGAAGTAATAAAGAGACCAAAGTCTGTAAAAAAATAAGCTTTTATATATAGAGAAAGTAAAAAAAAAAAAAAAAAAAGTTGTAAAAGTCCACCTTATGTCCAACCTACGTCCAAGAGAAACTAACCAAGTAGAGAAGGGCCTTTAAAAAAAGTACTTTGCACATAAATTGATTAGCTTTTGAGTAATAAAGTTAGGTCTATTCGTGTATTAGATTAATATCCAGTGTGTGTATTAAATATAATAATAAAACTATTAGTTACTCATTATATCTACAGTTCTTATTGTATCTTCAAGTTTGAGTATTTTTATTTCATTGTGTTTTACATTGTTGTGTTCGTTATTAGAAGTGATACTATAAAAGATAGATAAAATAAAGAGTGAGAGAGAAAAGAAAAAATAAAAAAAAATAAAAAAATAAAAAAAAAACCAGGGACCTCAATTTGTCCCAAGCTTGGTTTTTTTTTTTTTTTTGTCTCTCAGATCTTTTTTTTTTTTTGGTCTGTCTCAGGTTTCAAAGGTTGACGAAACGAAGACTAAAAATGTGATACATACTCTCTAAGAGCCGCTTTATTTTTCATATATATAAATTCAATTCAAATTAATAATACCCCTTTCCCTTATATCTTCTAAGCAAGCTATAAATGCTATTCTATTCAATTTTTTTTTTTTTTTTTTTTTTTTTTTTTTTTTTTGGGAGGGTTTAAACTATTTAAGATTTTTTTTTTTTTTTTTTTACCAAAAAGATCTGTACCATGGGCGGGTATGTATCACATTTTTAGTCTTCGTTTCGTCAACCTTTGAATTGCATGTCGTTCCTAATCCAATTCTAGTTGACTCCACTCCGACTTCCAATGTGATACTGTTATCCGAAGAAAAAATTGAATTACTGATTGCCGTACTTGAAGATCTTTGGGATGATGGTTTATAATAATGTTTTTCAAAGGTGTTGGTTGACAAACTCCAATTCGCGTGTTTTTTAACCTCTTGAATAGCGTGGCCGTTTTCAACTGCTTTTGTGCTGGAAGCTGCCCTGATTGAATGTGCTTGGAATTGTTTTGTGTCGATGCCAGCCGTTGTCATTTCATTTTTTATCCAATTTGCCACTGTCGCTGGTCGAACGGAATTTGTTGGTTTTGAGTCATCTTCCAAGTATGTCAAGAATAATGAGTGATCAATTGGTAAGTGTTGTCTAAGATTTGCTGTTTTGTCCAAGAACATCCTCATTGTTCTGACCGGGCATAATTGTTCCTCTCCAATTTCTCCCAACGTAATTGATTTGACTTGGCATTCCTTTGGTTCGCGTACATGTAATGAAAGAGACCAGTGTTCCCCTTCTTGTCGTATAATCACATCCCTGAATTGTAACCGTCCAATGTCGGATCGTGGTCTCCACATAGTAGCTATACATGTCACTAGAATAGTTTTCAATTGTAAGGCTTTCAAAGATAAACTTGAAGTTGGAGACAAAGAGATCTTGATATGGTTGACTAATAGAGAAATATCCCATGTGAACAGTTGTTGTGTGGTTGGAATGGTGACCTGTGATCTTCTTTTTGCTTTGAAAAAATCCCTGAGTAGTTTGTTTCCTGCTAAAGAAGGTTTATCTTCATGGATGATCGAAAAAACTGAAGCGATAGCTGTACGTAAACTGTTCAAATGTGTAACACTATAATGCTGATTGTCCACTAGAAATTGTAAAACTTGTCTTGGTTCATATGCACAAGGATTTTGTTGAGGTTGTTGACTTTTGCACCATCGTACCCATATCTTCCAATTTCCATCATAAGTTTTGACAGTATGTTCTCTAGACGTCTTGAGTAAAAAACTTGCTGTTTTTTCATCTATACCCATCTTTTCCCGGAAGTTGTTGATAACAGCCATGCGGCTAAAAACCATTTCGTATTGATCTTCCAAATTATCGGTGGTTGGAGGTGTTTCATGTTCAGAATCATTGGAAACCAAAACTGGCTGGGCCACCAAGGTGTCACCAAAACTGTCTTCTTCACCTTGTCCTTCTTGATCTTGTGCAAAACTTGTGGAATCATCCTCCAAGGTGGGTAGAGATATAGTCCTGTCCGTTGCCAATCTTGTTGGAATGCATCCACTGCTGTGGCTCCTGGATCCATCTTCAAAGTCCAATATTCTTTCAGTTGGTGATTGTGTCTTGCTGCAAATGCATCCACTTTCAGTTTTCCCCATTGTTTCTCTATCATCTTGAACATCGCTTTTGGAATTGATGTTTCGTATAATGGTTTCTTGGTCCTGCTCAATTTGTCTGCCTGTGTATTGAGTATGCCTGGTACATGTTGGTAGATGACTTGTAACTTGTGTGTATTGCAAAGATCTTGTATCTTGATCGCTAGATCTTGTAGAAGTAGTGATGCTGTTCCTCCTGATTTTGTTGTATATTTCAATGCTGTCATGTTGTCTGACAAAATCTTGATTGTTGAATTTTCGCATTTTTTTGCGTGAAGTTGAAGGGCAAATAAGATCGTCTTCAGTTCGCGCACGTTTATTGAGTGTTGAGTTTCTTCTTTGGTCCAAAATCCAGCTGTTTCGATCATTGGTGAACTGATCCCCCATCCTGTATCGGAAGCATCGACGTAAATCGTTGTCTTTGGGTTTGTTGGTGTTAACTTCTGTATTGGTAATCCATTCTTTTGAACTAAGAACTGTATCCACCAGTCTAGGTCTTGAAGGCTTGTAGATGATAACTTGCATGTTGCTTCCCAGTTTTGCTTTGTTGCTTGGAGTGTTCGTGCCAGATCTCGTTGCAAGTAACGGATGTGTAAAAGAGATTCCCCCACTGCTGGTATCATGGCCGTCATTTTTCCCAACAATCCTGCTATCCACCTGCATGATTTCTTCTGGAAACTTTTTATTTGTCGAATCTTCTTTAATAGATTGTTGATCTTCAGTTGTGGTACGGAGATGATCATCTTCTTGGTGTTGAATGTAAAGCCTAGGAAGTCTTGGATCTTTGATGGAGAAAACGAACTCTTGTTGTGGTTGATTATAAAACCCAGTGATTCTAAATGTAAACGAATTTTGAGTGTCAATTTGTTCATTGCTTCTTTTGATTTTGCCAGAACGCAGATGTCGTCCAGGTAAAAGACTAAACGTATACCTTCTTTCCTCAATGGTTCTATCGCATATTTCATCAACTTGGAAAAAACCCTTGGAGCTATACTCAGGCCAAAAGCTAGAGACTTGTAACGGTAAACTGTTCCTTGATTTTCGAAGCTCAAGTAATCCTGTGATTCTGGGTGTATTGGTACTACTACATAAGCATCCTTGAGGTCGATTTTGCAAATGTAATCGTTTTCTTCGATAATATCCCTGAGTGCTGGAATCCCTTCCATTTTGAAGTGCTCGATTTGTATAAAACTGTTCAGTTTTTGGCAGTCCAGAATCGGCCGTCGTTTCGTCTTTTCTTGTAAGGTGAAAAACTTCGACAGAAAATTTCGGTTTTGTGATGGTGAAATTTCTATCATTCCCCCTTCCAAAAATTTGGTGATTGCTGAGTTGATATGAACTTGATCTTCTTCTGAAACATCCCTCTTCGAAATTTTCCATGGAATTGGTTGTTGAGCAAATTGAATCTTGTATCCGTTTTGAATTACTGAAAGAGGCCATGTGTGTGATGTGATCTTCTTCCAGTTGTTGATGAATTGTTGCAGACGTCCCCCTGGTAATATCCCATCCTGTGGAATGGAATAATTTTGAGCTTTCGTTGTGATTTGTTGTGAATTGTTGTGATACATCATTGTTGTTCCACAGAGTTTTCTTGGTGACGATGTTGGTTTGGTGATTGGTTGTGAGAGTTGTTTGAGTTGATGAAGGTTGGAGTCCCACGTCCCCTTCCCCCAAAGTAGTTTTTTCCACCACGGAAAAAACCTCGTCCTCCTCGATGTTGGTGCCAGTTATGTGAGTATCCACCTCGATTTCCATAAGATTGTGTTGATGTTGCTGCTTTGATGACTCGTTGTTGGTAGTTTGCTTCATGATATTGTTCCAGGAATTCTTGGCTAAATGCTTCTTTTTTCCCTGTTGGTTTGGATTCCAAATGTTTGAGACTTTGGGGCAATTTGAGAGCTTTGATGGCGAAGTCTCTAGCCTCATTGTCTTGTTGTTTTGCTTGAGCCCATGCGAATACTGCGAGTCGCCTAGTACTTTCCATTGTTTCGTCCAATAGTTGAGAGGCTTCTGTTTGAGTGAGAGATCCTTCTTTGATGTGATTGAGTTGTTCAAAGATTTCTGTTGCTGCTCGTCCAGTTGTACGGATGATATCTGATCCCTTGTAAATGCTGTTGACCACTTGAGTGGTGTCCACAGTGTATGATTTGAGTTTTGGAATGAGTGATTTATTGATTTCTTCACCCACTGTCCATTCGTCATGTTGGTATTTTGTAAGATCTCGTTTGTATCTTTTGAAGTTTTCTTGTAATTGTAAGATCGTACTTTCTTCCAAATTTTCAGCGATTGCCAATGGTAATTGACGTTCTTCTCTGATTTGTTGGTTTGATGCTTGTTCATCTGCTCGGAAGCGTTGGAATAGTTGATATACTTCTTCTTCTGTATACAATCTTCCATTGTTATCATTCATATTTAATCCTCGTTGCGCGGCTTAGAAAGATATAAGGGAAAGGGGTATTATTAATTTGAATTGAATTTATATATATGAAAAATAAAGCGGCTCTTAGAGAGTATGTATCACATTGGAAGTCGGAGTGGAGTCAACTAGAATTGGATTAGGAATGACATGCAATTTTTTTTTTTTGGACCTGTGGTCTCCATTTTTTTTTTTTTTGCACATCCGACTGACTTTTAATTTTTTTTTTTTTGATTCTTTCCCTTGTCAATTCTCTCTCTCTCTCACACACACACACATACTTTTCCCCTTTCTTTTTTTTTTTTTTTTTTTTTTACTTTTCTTTTTCTTTAAATACATTAAACACATCAAATATAATAATACGTATATTATATTTATCTTTAAACTATTGAAGAATACTCTTTTTAATAAATAAAATAAATAAATAAATTATTTATTATTCTTATTCTTTCTTTTTCTCTTAAACCACTGATGAAAAAATAAAAAGACCAAAGAGATGTATAACAGGATGAACTTGATATGGGTAGGATGGATAAATAATAATAATAATAATAGGTTACAAAATCAATTGGAGGATACATACTATTATTAACAACAACAATAGCATAGAAATGATACAAACATACCGTTGATTGATATCTTTATTTGATTTCTTATGTTATATAGTTAGTATTTACTAGTTATATTCTTACAATAACATATTACTTATTTTTAAATCATATCTTTTATTTATTGTCGTTCTTATTATCATTTCACTGTAATAATCAATAG